CCCGGCTGCTTCGCTGCGCGCCCTCCTCCTCCTCCGGGCATCGCCTCCCAGCACCGCCTGGTCTTCCCCCTCCCTTTCAATTACGGCCTTTTCTGCAGCGGGACTCGAGTTGGTTCCTTGCGATGGTTCGGGGGGGGTAAAGCAGTTAACTTTGTGCTGCCCAGTTTCCTTCCGACTGACGGGGGAGAGGGCGCTTCGCCTGTGTTCTCTGAAGGGGCAGAGCAGGAAATGCCAGGACGCTGCAGCACGGTCTGGCACGGACAGGGGAGCAGGGGTGATAGTGAGATGGTGAATTTGCCCCGTGCCCTTGGCCAAGTCATTTACTCTCTTGCTTTTTTGCTGCTTGTATTCTGGGAACAGCTGACACCCACTGTCTTGTTCAGCTGATACTACAAAGCATCCAGTCCTTCAGACAGGTGCAAAATTGTCATTCCTCATCAACCTCATAATTTGCTCTTCTATTGGATAAAGGTCATTAAATGGGTTTTGTTCAGCAACTGGCATATACGTAAATAATTTGTCCTCATATGATTTTTGTCTATTTAATGCTTTTATTTCTTGGCTTTATTGCAAGACTTGCTGCATTTTCTTCGGGGAGCTCTTCTGCTGAGGCTGTGTACCCTTCTTTGGCTCATATGAGGCTTCTTTGGCTTTTTTTCTGGTATATTTTGGGAGAGGCAGAGCTTGTTTTGGGATGTGTGACTTTCCTTCTTCTCTGACAGTTCATTCTTTCTATTAATTGCAGGAATAGGGCTCCTGTTTTACCTGGTGTACAAAAGCAAGGAGTACCAGAAGGAGGCATGGTGCAGGCAGCCGTGTGGCCAGTTTAGCACTTTCTTGAAATGTATTGCCGCAGACCAAAAACCTGATTGTTGTTTGCTCTTCATCCTATTCCATGATGTAAAACCAGGGTGGGATATCTCAAATTAAATAATTATTTTAGACATTTTTAGACATTTAGACAATTAAGACATTTATGTTTAGACATTTTAAAGACTGGTGGTCAGCTCATACATACTCCTATTGAAGGGTGGGGGAGGCAAATAATACAGTTGCATATTTAAAAGATTAAATAATTTTAGGACATATATAATAATGCAAACTACCATTAATTTATATAAATCGGCTCTCCATCTCGTGGGCATTAGTCAGGTGCTTGTGTGACTCGGGAGGTTTTCCCACCACATGTTAATGCATAAGCAGGTGTGTTTTGGAACATCTTGTGTTCAGTTAAGCATTAATCCAGTGGTTCCCCCCAGCATCCCTATTAACTCTGGTTTTGTCCTTCTGACTCTGATTATAGGATTGCAATCTTAGTTCTGCAACTGAATTTCCGTTATGACCCAACTCATGGGCACCACTGACTAAAGTGGGGCTGTGGCCCCGATTTGGGTAATTCTGCAGGAAGATACAGGCAGTTACAGGAGGCTGGATGGAAAAGTCTTGGCTTTGCAAGCCTGATGGGTTAGAAACTAGAACCTCTCTAAATTCTAGTGGTTTCAGAGCTGATCTCTGCTTCCACCAAAGCCTTCCTTTGGGGCATCTCTCTTGTTTGCATCAAGGGATAGAGGTGTGTGTGCGTGTCCCTCCCCAGCATAAGCCTGGTGAGTAGGCTATAGAGTGAGGAGAGGGCTTGACCATTACTGTATGCCTCGGTTAACTCTAATACAGATCAGTGCGTGTGAGAGAAAGAAACATGGACTAATGAGAATGCCTGCCTGTTTTCTTTTGGGGAAACAAAAAGCTGACTCGCAGCTCGCTGACATTTCTATAGTCACGTTGCATTGGCAGGACAGGCAGCACCAGTAGTTCTTTTGGAAAGGCAGGACAAGGGGATCAAATGTGTTGTCCCCATCCCAGTCCCCCCACCCTTCTCCACCATGTGAAAGGATCTCTTTGAGTGCAAGACGAGAGTGAGTCAGTGAGGCTCCGCAGGGGGATATAAAGCCAGCTTTGTAGTAGCCCTCTCTAGGCTTTCAGTGCCCTAGACCATGCAGTGCAATGTCACTCTGTTGCAGCCCTCCTTACCTGAGCAGGGCCAGGTCCTTCACGCTTCAGCACACACATTTCACTGCTCTGGCGACACTAATCTGTAACCTGCTGTTCTGCTGCTTCACTCGCTCTTCTGCTTGGTGAGTTAACCTCCCAGGCCGTGGGAATGCGTGAGCCAGCTGCCGCTGTAGACCCTTGCAGGGTTGGTTTGTGATGCTTTGGTAGACATGCAGTTATGTTCCCCGCAGACACATATGCGCACGCATACAAGTTAAGAAGCAAACTGCATTTGTTAGATCTCTGGCAAGTTCAGACATGCCTTAAAGGGTTTATAATGAGAATAAATGAAGTGCTCGCTTTCTTACTTTTCCCCTCTGTGACCCACTTTTTGTAGATGAAGTTGGTAAGCCAACTAGGGCACTCCTTGGTAGAAAAGAAAAATCTCCACTTTGTTCTTCCTTGCAGTTAAGCTAATTCTCTTCCACAATAACTCTTGTTGCTGCTTGGCTGCAGGATTTTATCTCTAAATGCCTGATGAAGTAAGTGTTTCTGTGTATCTAGTATCAGCATTTTGATTAAGAGACAACTGGCCACCTCTGCTGTGAAGCCCAAGTTTTAAAAAGCTCCTCTAAATTCTGGCTGCTTTCTTAAAAAAAAGAAAATAAGTAACCACCTGCTTCTTTATCTAGTGAAATTGGTGTCTTCACTGGTTTAAGTTAGGGAGTGTTCTAGAAGAGAAATTACTTCCTGCCTGTATTACTAATGAGCATATCTCTGTCACCAAACTCTTTTTTACATACCCAAAAGCACTCATTTTTGCCAGAAATCTTTTGAAGATTCCTGGAAGAATCTAATCATCTTCACATGGCTAGTTTGCTATGGCTGGTGGAGCTGGTTGTGCAATACTGTATGAGCAAATGCCTGGTTTTCATGGATGTACGACTCTATCCAAATTTTGGCTGCTGATCCGAAGTATGTGTTAGCAGATCAAGACCCAGCTGGTATTACCTGAATAGTGCTCCCTTGTGACCTCAGTCTGGACTCTATTTCTGTGACTTAATGTACATTCTGGTCTCTTCAAATGTAGATTTCCTCTCCTTCAAACCACAAACAATAAAATTAGAAGCTCTCCAATGTGAAATATACGGTCATACTCTGAACTCTGAGGTGTAGGGATCAACAGGACCTCTTCACATATTTATCCTAGAGCCATTCTGATTGGACATGGAATATATTTGGCCAATGATGCAGATTTAATAACTGCATATTTCATCCACCATGCCTTTTGCAGATCTCAAAGGTCTGAAAGCATTTAGCAGAAGAGATTGACACCACTGTTTGTTTTACACGTGGGGAAGTGGAGGCAGAGAGACCATATGCAAGGTGCCAGGAGCAGAACCCCAGTTCTGCTCCAGGGTTTAATCCCTATGATTCCTACAAAAAACCACTCAAGTCTTTATCAAAAGACACCTTGCATTTGGAAGGTGGAGTTCTTGTCAATAAAAATAATTACCAGATCGTTTTCCCTTTTGTTTCCTAGATGTCGCCATGCTGCCATAGCGAAGTACTTTGGTGATGTCACCCCACCTTGTAACAAGTGCTGTGATTACTGCAGGAACCCAGGGGCAGTGAAAAGACAACTGGAGTCACTGGAGCGCTGCAGCAACAGCTGGAGCAAAACCTGCATTGGGCCCACAGGTTCCTCCTGGGATGCCTATGACCCAGAGCTGTATGAAGGCGGGAGGAGAGGTTGCAGAGGTTTTAGCAGGTCTGTACTTGGTAGCTGAAGCTCAGTTCACAGGAGCTATCAGAAAGCAGAGAGCATCTCCCAGCTGCAGGCCCAGCCACTCCTATTTTCAGCACATGTTTCTGTGTGGTGGTATTTTCCTGTAACTTCCTGGCAGCAGGAGCTGGAATTTCATTTTCCACACACTTTGGCAGCCTTGATCACATTCACGTCCCAGAGAGCCAAAAGCTGTTTTGACTGACCTAAGAATTGCCCTGCAGAATGTAATTGGTTCAAGAAACTAGCCTGAAATTTTTTGAAAGCAGTAAGTGGGCTCAACCCGTTTACAGTCACAAGGATCAAAAATGTTTACACTGAGACCAACGTGACAGCAAAGTATGGCATGGTCCAGAGTTCATTCCTGATTTAGTACAGCTGTCTGTGGGCCGCTGACAGGACTTAGTCATCATAGAGGATGTAACAGAGCACCAGTGTCAGCTTCTTCTGCAGATAGATTGCTAAATTTTAGTTTTTCCCTATCAGGCTGGCAGCAAAAGGAAAACGTGCTGTGAGAAACATAATAAATTCTGTAAAATGCTTGGCAATGTGGAGGTGACAACTTCTCTTCCTCCTTGTTCTCTGGCTGAGTTGCAGCGATTGTGCAGCTCTGCCAGGATGCAAGTTTTGCTGCCTGTGCTGCCCATGAAGCTCTGCCAGGAAGCACAGCACTGCCAGCTGGCCTAGCCCTCTGCTTTACCTTAAACAGCTTGAGATTGTAGCTTTGTTCTTCAGGCAGGTCCAGATGAGTCGGAGGAAACCGGTGTACTTCTGACCTAAGCTTGTGTTTGATCTCAGGACCTGAGAAGACACAACCAATGTTGTTGTACAACACACTGTTTGCCACTTGATTTCTTGAGCCTCTCCTTGACTTGGTTGTAGCTTTGTCTTAGAAGTCGTAATAGTCAACAGCCTTTAAGCTCTGATTTGTGATACCTGGAAGTTTTGGCTGTGACAGCTGTGGAAGGCAGTAGACTCTTGGGCTACATGTGGCAAGAATCAGCTGCTGCATTTCAGTGTATTGGTGATGGGGATTTCATTTAATACAACAGGCTGTGAACAACTGAAGCTGAGAAACGGATGCTTTGCCCTTTCTGCCATCCCTGCTCCAAGGGCAGTAACGACTGACAGATGGGTACATGACACAAGGCAGTGACTCCTCAACCCCATGGGAGAAGCTGGCAGAGCTTCTGAAATGGAGCCTTCCATTCTCAGAGCACTAGTTATGTGCTGTTAGTTCACGCTGCTTACTAGTTTATGGGATTAGCAAGTTCCATGCACTTTTGGAGGCCACTCAGTACTGTCCAGGTTGAGGGATAGTAGTGAGACTAAGAGCTAAGACTTGTTCAGAAAGGATGTGAAATACATAATCTTCTGTAAATGCTGGGATGACCTAGGCTTTCCAAAGCCTGTCCCAGTTAATGCTGCAGCTACAGAAATGTTTATTGCTCTTGTTTTCCTGCCTTATCCAGGTATGATGAAGAAAGTGGTGGGTATGGGGATGAAGCCAATGAAGAGAGTCGGAAGCGTGAGTGGAACAACTTCTACAAAAAGCAGATGAGTCTGCGCAAAGTGAGTTGGTATCCTTTTGTAAGAGATTCACAGATTGTTTGCTGTGAGCTTGTCTTACAGACATAAAGGCTTCCTGGCACTAATGAAAGTAAATTATTGCAGTTTGCTGTTGCTTGTTCTGTTTTTCACTTTTTGTACCTCTGCTTTTGCTGTGTTCTCCGCATTGTGGGTCAGTCCCATAATATGAAGGAACCCATATTCATGTACTGATTTCTCTGCAGTGCTAATGGAGAGGGTCCTGTTGTCTTTAACACCTCTGATATTAGTAAAAACAGATTTCCTCATTCAGTTTCTCTTGCATGTTCCTATAGCAAAAGTGAACTTTTGGTTCTGATTCTCATCTTTTGTCTCCTTTCCCTAATTTTGGTGCCTTTTCAGTACCTTTGTAACTTCAGCATTAATTTTCCCTGGAGCAGCGATATAAAATGTGTCTTTTGTGCTTCTAGACCTGCATGTGTGTTGCAGGATTGGAAACGTTTGACTGATCTTTGTTTTCTTCCAGGGCAAAGAACCAGAAAAGGAAGATTTTGTTCCTCCAAGTAAATATCTTCTTTGATTTATAGTAGGTTTTCTTTGGGAGAAGTCAGTCTTGTATTTTGCAGCTGTGTGTAATTTATACAGCATCAACACTAGATGCAACCTAGGCACAGAGGTTAGGCTTTTAGCTGTGAAAGCTTGGCTGGAGGAGATGGATCAGAGCTTAGCTTTGGTTGGGTTGAAGATATAGAATGCATCTTTCTGAACAACTTTTCCAAATAAGGAAGAGAGAAGAAAAACTCTGTCTAACCTGACTTTGTAGGCTATTTCTGCAGTGGTTATACAGCAGTATTCTATGGGCTGTAAGGAAACTGCTGAAAAACTTTGCCATTTGTAACTGTGCTACTTTAACATGGGCCCTGTCTAGCAAGACAGTTCTTGTACTATTCTAAAAGTATACTTGGTAGTTCATTTACTCTATTCAGCCTCTTTGGTTTTGGTTGGTGTTGTGGGGAGTGGAAGAGAGTTGAGCCTCCTAAGAGCTGGATTCCTTGAAAAAGGGTTTCCTGAGATGGGGAGGTTTTGGAAAGCTGTTGGTCATAAACTAGCAAAGTAGACGTTCTCATGCAGAGAGAAAAATCTCACTTCAGCTTCTGCATATTCTTTTGGAGTTTGTAGCTTCTCCAGGTAAAAAAGGTGACTGTAATGGTCCTTGAGGTGGCTGTGCAGGGAGGAGCATGGCAAGCAGTACCGACTGGTACCCTCCCAGTGCCAGCTGAGATGTTCTCTGTCAGCTCCAGCCCTGCTATGATGCCTTTTCCAAATGTCTCTTCTATGGTAGGTACCGACTGCCCCTTGAAGGATGCCTTCAGCAGGCGAATCTCTAAGCTCACAGTGAAGGTAAGAGAGGCTGGTAAACGTTCAGTCTTGCTGACTTGCAAAGAACAACAAAGATTCTGCCTTACTGCTTCAGGGAAGGAAGTCCAAGGGGCACTATGACTTTTGTCGAGTATGTCTGAGTATCCCATGTTTCCTAGGGACGGGAACACTGCTTGAAGATGCTGGAAGAAGCTTTAAGCACCAATCAAAAGGTTCCAGCAGCAGAAGGAAAAGGGTATGTGATGAGAGAAAAGAGGTAGCATATTGAGTCCCTTAATACAGAGCCTGGTCTTCCCTGAGCCACTCTCAGGGAATGGCTTTTTAAGTTATGTGGTCCAAGGATGTAGCACCACTTAGCAGCATCCTTCTTGTAGTGATATTCGGGATCAGATATGAGGATTCCTGTGTCTGATTCTGCTAAATCAGCTTGATCCAAGGAGTCGCAATTCTTCCCTGACCCACGAGATGGGGATAGTGTACTTCTCAAACTGAGCAACTGGGCAAGCAGACTTTGATTTAAGCTGTTTTCACCACCCTTTCCATTCTCCAGCAATTCACTGCTGCATCCCTTAGGACTTAATTGGAAGTTATCACTTATTCTTGCACCAGAGGGAGTGAATTTTGTACTTTCTGGGAGATGCTTAAGCATTAGTGTTCCCTTTGCAGTCTTGTCATGTCTTGTCTTGTCTTACGAGTCAAGTGTGTCTTGCCAGAAATCACTCCAGCCTGTGTTACAGGTCAGACCCTCATGCCTGTGCTGTGGAGCTGGAGTATGAAGCTTTCCAAACCAGTAAAATGGCTAACTCGTACAAGGCAACTGTGCTAAAGAAGGTAAGGCCATACGACTGCTTTATTCCCTTGAACGTGGTGTGGCCTAAGCTCAAAGGGCAATAGGGTAGAGTTTGTGTGGGAAAGATGAAGGAGAAACTCTGCTTTGCCTTGGATGTCTTCCAAATCCTTCTTGGTTTTGCTTCCAGGAGAGCCCAGAATCACATTGGTTTCACAGCTTTATGGCTTTACAGGCTTTGGAAACCTACATGCCAGTGCAAGCTTATCCAGATACCTTCTAGCTCCAGCAATAAAGGGAATGGAGAGTTCCTTAGACTGTCGCTGACAATAGAGAAGCCTTGGTTTAGGTTAGCCGATTGCCATAAGTCTCTGAAGATGTTTCTGTTCTTGAGATAGGTGTCTCTCCAGTGGAGACATTTTTTTGCCACTATGCCTTTTAGTATGTACAGAGACAGGAATGCATAAAGATTTCCGGATGCTAGAGGATATTTCTCTTCTCTTTTCAGGTAGCAGAAATCAACAAAGCCTCAAAACAAGGAGAGTTGTTCTCAGTCTTTGGGTCCAGAACTGGTGGCAACAGCAGCTTGGAAACAAAATCTGGATCTCCAGCAGAAGAGGACTTCCTCCCTGCATCCCAGGTTTACTCGGTGAGTGAGTACAGACGGCATAGACAAAGAGAGACTGGTGTGCTTTGTCTATCTGCTTTTTTATAATTTTATTTAAGTCCTTTCTGTGGCCATAGCTGTATATTTCAATTGGAATTGCTATCCCCATCTGTCCTTTGTTTTTGGAGTGAGATCAACTAGTCATGCTGGTTCCTATTAGTGAATATAATCTATGTACAGGCCGTACGTCAAATAAGTTTTTCTTGTCTTGCTCTAACCAAGGGTGCTGTCTGTTTCCTTACCATGGGCCCATGACTTTAACCTAATTCATTTTCCTGATGTCTCAGTTGATAGTTATGATGATTAGTCCGTTTTAGAGCCTTCCTCAGCTTACAGCTGCACACACTGATGTATACAGAAACTTAGCTCCTCTCAGGGTTCTGCACACAAGGCTTCCTAAAGGCTCTCATATCCAAAATTTCTTCTTCTTCTTCCTTTCTCCTTAGTTCAAACCCAAGCGTGTGGGAGCAGGATTTCCAAAGAAATCCAGCTTGTTCCAGACAGCTTCAGAACTGTTGAAGGTCCAGGAGGAGAGTGATGCAAAGCCTGTCAAAAAAGAAGTAGATTGTCCAAATGGGCAAGACAACAGCAACTACAGTCTGGAACAGGACACCAGAAACCCTGTTCTCCAGAAGAAGGAAATAGCAACCAAAGCAATGTGTGAGAGTGCTGAGGTAGAATTATTCCTTCCTGAAAAGAAGGGACAGCAACCCAGTCCAGACACAAAAGCTGCCCTTGGGGATAGCCCTGCTAAGAAGTCCAAACCTAGCAAGAAGCAGCAAATGCTCGCGGAAGCAGCCAAAAAAGAATCACAGGATATTTCCAAATTCTTCTCCCTCCCCAAAGGTGGGTCTAAAGCCAAAAGTTGCAGCTCAGCAAAGGAAGATATCTGTTCTGCAAGCACACTACCTCAGGTTTCTTCTCAAAGCATGTGTCAAGATAAATCAATACCTCAGAAAAACAAAGATGTCTCTGGAGAAGATGTGACTGGACAGTCCCAGGCAGAGAATGAAGAGCTGGGAGAGACAGAAGTAACAGTGACAGAGAGGGAGGAGGATTTTAAGACCCAGCAGGCTGCTGAATCTGAACTTCTTCAGGGAGCGATTGATGTAAAATCTAGGTAAAATCTCTACCTCTCTGCTCCCTGTGTTGCCCTGTTAATGAGCTGCAGAGCTCCACCAGCCTTGTCCTGAAAAATGGGAATCTGTATTAGATCTCTAGGCTGGTGAGGGAGACTTGCTTTACCATAAAGTCACATGGCCCCTGATAGTGAACATAGTAATATCTTCACTGTGGAATGATTAAAATTGTCCTTCTTCCCATTCTTCCCAGTAGTGTTGCTGAAAACATTGCAGAAACTGAACTAACTGTTGTTGGGGAAGGTGAGTGTGGGAAGCGACCAGGATCAGATGAGGTAAGACTTTAATGGATGTTGATTTCCTCCATTTCTTCTGCTCATCTTGTGCCAAGTTTCCTTCTGGGAGTGATGCTCCTAGCCTGAACTTCACCTGATAGTGTTATTTATCTGGGGAGAGCCCAGCTGCAATTGCAGTGGAGAGGAGAACTGTAGTTGTGTTGCACTCCTGGTGTCCCCCTGCTGCTCGCTGGGCCAGTGCCAGCAACTCAGACTGCAGTGGAAAGTTTCCCCGCCACTCTGCTTTGTTTCCTCTCCTCTGCAACACATGTGACTGTACCCTTTGCTGATGACTTGCCTGGAATGAGTCTCTCCACCCCCTCTAGATCTGTAACTAACTATAATTAGCAAGCTGCTTTCTCAAGTCAAGGGAACAACCACAGACCAGTGACGCACAGGACCACTGGGAAGCAAACCATGCTCACAGCCTTCCTTGCCATTCAGTCTCTGGTTCTGCATTTAGCATCTGAGACTGCCTGGTAGCTGTCTTTGTTGAACAGTGCAGTTTTCTCCTTGCTCTTTCAAATTGAGCAGGAGTGTGGCACTCCTGAAGTGGTTGATTCTTCCTGAGGGGTGTATTCTCAGCAGACATCCTGAGAAGTCTTTTCCTGTCAGTTTTTCCTGTGTAGGATGGGGTCTATCAATTAGCTGCCCTAATAAGAGCGTAGGGTAATCTAAATGTCGTAGTTTTACTGGCTTTTTCTTAGAGTCCCTTTTATGTGGTAAACAGCGTATTATGTCTGCACAGCAAAATGGGTTACAGAAATTCCTGCATGGTATTCACTATAGGGAGAGCCTGCATATAGAGGATGCTGCAGAGATTCCTGTTCTCAGAAGACAGTAGATGCTTGGAAGTGTAATGCTGCCAACAGGAATTGATGGGTTTGGTTTTCTTCTGTCCCATCTCCAGCATATGGAAAGTCCTGCAACAAAGCGGCTACGGAGAGTGGCAAAATGTTCTATTCTGTCCCAGCCAGAAAGCAAAAGTGTTGGTCCAACAAAGAAGAAAGTGACTTTTGATCCAAGCTTATCGCAGTCTGATAAAGAAGGAACCAGCAAGACTGTACAGCCAGTGACCAAAGGCATGTCCCTCAAAGAAACAGCAGACATCGTTGTCAAATATTTGACCCCATTCTACAAGGGTGGCAAATTTGCTTCCAAGGTAGGGCACAGCTCAAGACCCTCTCTAGCAGAAGGAGATGGCACCTCCCTAGTGATCTGGGGCTCTAAGGCGGGGAAGATGATCTGGATGCCACATTTCATTTCCAAGTCACATCTTGGTATGAGCTGTTTCAGTGACTCCAGGTGCAGCACCTCATCTCTCCCAAGACAGGGTTTGTGTGTGATTTAGAGTGGTATCATGTTGGTTCCACACTTGTTTGTGATTGTTCATGTTTTCACACTAAACTCTGGCAAGTTTTTAAAAATTACCTGTGGCATGGCAACAGATCAGATTCAATTCTGGTGTAGTTTACTTGACGTATTCTGCAAGTGTGTGTGCATGTGCTTCTTCTCCAGCACTGCAGGGCCAGGTGCATTTGCAGGTTTGCAAGACCCCTATAGTCTAAATCTAGGAATGGTTTGTGCTAGAGACGGCCTGTGTTAAGGGCAGGACAAATGTGGAAACAATCTGGTGAGGTAAACAATGTCTGCATTCTGCTCTTTATCTTCCCCAATTCTGCAGGATTTGTTTAAGGGCTTTGCTCGGCACCTGTCTCACTTACTGACTGAAGAACAGAACCCTGCCCGCAAGACTGGTGAGTTGGCAGCCGGGGAAAGCACCAAGAATCGTGGGTTCTTTTGATGGTAAATGCATTGATGTCTTTAGAGGGGGCAGATGTCTTAAGTATCATCTCAAAGGTGGTGCTTCCTCTCTTGCAGTGAAGGAGGAAGCACAGAGACTCATCAAAGAGTTTTTCAAAACGAGGGTCAGGTGTGAGAGTGAGACAGACTGGCAGGAGCTGCAGAGCTCAGAGAGCTGATCCTTGCATCATGTTGGCTGTCTTCCTTCAGCACTTGGGACCAGGGTATCTCAAAGAACTCAGCCACAGAGGGTTTCGTGAAACTGCAGAAGCGAGCTTTCTTTTCCGACTGCATTTTTGCTTGCTTCTGTTCTTAGTGACACGCACTTCCAGGAAACCAGTTTCTGTGAACTTATGGAAAGTTTCTCCAATAACCAGGGTGCTGAAGCCCTCTCATACCTCTTGCCAAGAGGTGTGAAGTCTGCATCTGCTGTGTAAGTTAGGGGCTGCTGCCTCAGGTGTTCTGCAGTGTCTCCAACCTCTACTCCCTGCAGCAGTCTGGGAAGGACTCCGACTGGAACTCTGCTTTGGGATGGCATCTTGCTTCCTAGATGGCTCCTCCCCCCTCTCTTAGTTCTTATTTCAGTGTTACCACTAGAAGCCTTACGCTACAAGTTCACATGCTTTGCTCAGGGCTGCCAATGATGAACTTGATGGTTGAGTTCCTGGATGGAATGTTTTCCCTTGAAGGGCAGGAGGGGAGCGTTTTGTTTTTACCACACAGGCAATGCCTACTTTCTGAAGGTGGAGAAACTGGGATTCTTTTTCTTTTAATCTTAACTTTTTTTTTAACTTTGTCTAGTTTTGCCTGCCCTTTAACTTAAGTGGTGATGCTCTTTCAGTATTAACCTCTCCTATAGTGGCACCAAGGTTGCCAACACTTTTTTAGCATCTGCTCGTAACCCCTAAAGCCATATTTGCTGCCTGTGCCTCACCCACAGTCAGCAATACAGAGGGCAGTGCTGCTGTTACAGCTGGTTTAGGTACTGCTGTGCCCTCTCAGATTGATACTGTGGTGCCTCTGCTGCTATATTTATATAAGGACCTGAACCTTAGGGTATCGGTGGGTTTGAAATAACCTGATTCCCTGGCACAAGTCCTTTCTGTTGGGTTTTTGTTGGGTTCTGCCTTTGTTCTATGCCTATAGATGCTGGTGGCCTCAGGCACTAGTGCTGCTAGAGGAATCTACAGCCTGAGAGGCCACCAAACAGGCTTTTGGATCCCTGTACTCAACAGATGTATTTTTTTTTTAAATGTACGGAACTGACAATAAAACAATGTTACAGCTGCTCTGGACTCTTCCTGAAAAGTTTTTCTTACCAATTAATCATACAGACGGGTCTGAGATACGTTAAGACTCCATCACTGTGAACATAGACATGAAAGTTCATCTCTGTTCTGAACAGACAGCTAATAAATGCAAGCCTGGGATGGGATGGGAAGCATGTGCCAGCAGACACCTCCAACCCCTTATAGCTGCAGGACTTCAGCTAGAACCAGAAGGAGAACCTGTAAATGTTTAACTCAAAAGTTACTTTCATCTTCAGCTTGCCCTCTGCTCACTGGAGGACAAAGGGCTTTACAAAAAGCCTTTTACACAATAGAAGTATTTTTCAGCTGGTGCCTGCTGGCCTCTGTTTTACCTTCCCATTAAAAAATCCTGTTTCATCAGCCACTTAAGTAGGGTTACTATCTCTCCGGAGTTCAGTGCTTGCAGAATTCAGCTGCTATCTGGGTGAACTTCTCAGAAATTCCTTGTTTGTCTTCTAAGTCAGAGGGGTTGAGGAAGGGCTGGTTAAGTCATGGGGTTGTGTGACAAAATGTGGGGCATTTCTAACCAGATGAGTTGTGCTTCTATGTCAGGCAGCAAAAGCTCAGAGAAAGAGAAGGGGAATAAGGATAAGTTAATCTTCTATTCTTTTCTTTCATGTCATTGCGGTACTTTACCTAGCCTTGCAGTAGCGCTGCTGAGAATGGAGGATGGAACATGCTTCAGCTGAGACCTCAGAGGCCACAGCAAGCAGCATTTGAAGGGACTTTCCTGACAGGGAAGATGCCGTAGTTACTGCTGGCATCAGCTCACCAGCAGGAAGCTAGCTGTGCATCATGACTTGCATTGGAGCACCCTCAGATCTATCCTGTTCCCAGCCAACAGTGACAACCTTTTCCTCATGCTTTGCCAGACCTGCAGGCCAGTCTTCCCATGTTAGATGTAAACCAGTATCTGTGATGTCTTCAAAATATTTCTATGTGATTATTTTATTGCAATCTCCTAAAGTGCAGATACTTTTCAGTTCAGTAGGATAGCTATAGCAATAAAAATAAATTAAGCATTTTGGTACAACACAGGACATGTTTTCTCTGTGGGCATGGAGCCATCGTTTAAGTATGACAGCTGCACGGACATGACCAACTTCTCTACAGTAGAGGCAAACATATGCATATAATTAGATCAGTAAGAAATTAACTAACAATAAACCTTCTTACCATTGCAGCTCAATCTGTGCCCCAGCATGTGTGTTAATTGTACGCTAACACTGATCTGCTTTGCGATTAAGATGCTTTCTACAAGCTCCTGCTTCACAATCCTGCTACAGAGCCTCTTGCATATCAATGCAACAGAGAAAATGCTGGCCTATGGAAAACACCAGCAGCCAGTGCAGTCATTTTGTAGCCTCCGCTTTGCGTTGTGATATGCAAATCTCTAGCAAGCATCAGTCTTCACTCATGTTAATTAATTCAAAAAAGAACAGAACAGTCCCACACTGCATAGTTTGAAGGCAATTGCTTGCATCTGTTCAGCTGCTCTGTGCTGGTGGAACAGGCTATGAAAAAACAATGGTGTGGAAAGGGTGTCTTGTGGTTTGTCTAGGCAGCGCGTGCATTGCTTTAAGGAAGAGTACTTGGGGACTGAATGGCAGGTCACAAGGGGTGAGATTATGGTCCAGTCCATCAACAAACACTGTAGTGGCAGTCTTAGAAAACAGCTGTCTGAGGTCATGGATGTCTTTTGGAAGGGTCATCTCCAGAAGACAGGGGAGGGAGCACTTAACAAGCTCAAAGAAAGGAAAACAGTGCTGTTTTGCTTGGTCATTCTCCTCCTCTTAGGCATTAGTGGTGCAAGTCTGTTTTATCCAGGATGACAACAATTGTGTGATACATTTCTTTAGCCTGTCAAAACACAAATCAGTATCAGTCATTCTCTGCCCCAGAAATGGCTGCTTCTCATAAATATTTCCAGAAATCACTTTCCATGGAAGGTACTGGGACAAAACTGCACTTTGGGGCCTAGGAAATGCAATGCTCCCATCCACCTCTGGGACAGAAGAGAGCAGTAGTACTGTCTCAGCAGAGGCTCAGCTGGGCAGTGGAGGGCAATTTCTGAATTGCCAGGAGGAAGCTGTAGGTCCAGGCTGCTCTTACCTGTGACAGTTCAAGCCACATAGCCTTGGGGCTGGCAGCTGAGCCATAGTTCAGTTCTATGCCAGGAAGCCCACCATCAGAGACAGGTCGCAGGGTTCGCATCATCTGCAGCTCTTCCAATGGAATGATGCGGGAGATCGTCTGTATAAGGAGAAAAGCCACAGCACACTCTCTGGAGCAGTCCTTACAAATAAAACCATCTGATTCTCACCAAGGATTCACCTCAACAGCCTACTGAAGGCTAAGACAAGGACTGGGGCACAGGGCAGTATGTACGGAATACAGGGCAGTCTCCTGCTGCCAGCATGTCCCTAGAACTCCTGCAAGGTTGGGACAAACAGGAATGTGACCTACACTTAGTTTTACTGTGAACCGTGCTTATTAGCATGATCACTGGACTTACAAAAGAGCACATGGTAGTACTAACTGCTCTACCACGCTTGTCACTTGCTTTGGGGCTGTTGTTAGAGTGGCTGTGATGCAGGTAAATACAGTCTCTTCCTGCACAAGTTCTTCTAAAAGTCAGAGTTAACATCTGACAGACATCAGGGCTCTGGACTCGAGGGAGGAAATGTCTGGCATACCTGGGTGGTGCCATCCACCACAATGATCTCTTCTTCATTCACGCCAAAGAAACAGGGCACAGGGATTGTGTTATCGCTGACTTTCTCTACAAAGTAGGTGTTGTAGCCAAAGAAAGGCAATTTCATCACGTGCTCTGTTAGAAAGCAAAAGGTGGCTTTCAGGCAGCAGCTTCCAGCCAGCAATCTACTGTACCAGTCTAAGGCGGTCAAAAGCTGAAAGTGTTCCCAAGCTTTTCTACATTAAAAAGTAAGATTGACAACTTCTCCCTCACCCCCCCGGCTGCTGATACTTAATTCTCAGCAGCCTGAATAGATGTCCTGTTCTTTTCCAACCAGAAAACAGATACACAGCAAGAATATCAGTTAAAACACAACTTGCACAGAGCTCTGAAAGTCTACTGCAGACTTCTACAAAAGAAGAGGGACTTCTACCATGATCACCGTGCTTGGGACCAAGTGCCAATCTGTAGGGGGAGGCTGTCAGGGAGTCATATGTCATGGCCCATTCCATGCTCCAAGGGTCCTCGCCAGCCTCATGAACTGTTCCAAAAGCACATTCAGACCAGCTTCCATCATGCCCAGAATAGATGACTCAAGCAGATCTGGATGTCTCCTCACCCATGAACTGGATTTTTGCATCCACTGGCTGGAGGGGCTGCCTGGTTTTCAGCAGCATGCCAACATGGTTCTGCAGAGCCTGGGGACTGATGGAGGACTGCAGGGTCTTTGGCGTGTACTCCTTCAGCTCTTCCCTGTGCCAACAAGCAGATACTAATTCACCCCCTGCCCAGCTAAAATCAAAAGATTTACCAGGGGGATTAAGAGGAAGGAGGGAACGTGGCAACAATTTTCAGTTGCATGTCTGGGGACAAGGATAGAGGGAGAGGGGAAGAGCACAACAAGTCATCTCTGAATTGGATAACGTGGAAGGAAACATCAAATACAGTGAGACCATCATTTTCCACACAGAAGGCGGTTATGCACCACTGACTAGTGCACTGACAGAAACCCCTCCTTTCTGGAGACAACAGGAGCTCTTCAAGAAAGGACTGTAGTATGGAAGTAGAGCCACAGGGTGTTTCTTTCACAGGCAGCGTCAGCTGAAAAACACCTTACTCTGACTCTGTCTTGCTCCTTAGCCTCCAAAGCATTACACTGAGCAGAGTTCCCTATGCCCAGACAGGTTATGCCATTACCCCCTGCTGCTGGTGGTGCGAGGGGATCTGATGGAGCCATTACCTCCGCTCTAAGTGCATAAGGATATGGGAAGGAAGAAGTGTGAAAATACAGCTGGGGGCTGCAGGACAGATGCTTTCCAGTACCCAGGGACATTTTCATTCCTATTGGGCATCTCACTACCAGGGTTGAAAACTCTGGCACTTGTGAGAAAGAACAAAGGAGCATTCATCCCAACTATAATCATGCACTTTCTTCTTGGTATTACAAACCCATGGCAGTCAAAAGAAATGTCCGTGGCACCCTCATGACCCTCAGCTCAGGAGGAGTCACAAAAGGAAATGTGGATCAGAGACAGTCAGCATTAAGCGTGTGAACAGGAGGTAAACTTTCTGATTATGGGCAGGAGTCAGTCACTAAGTAGTGACATTAATTAGTAGCTTATGTTCTCCAGAACTGTCCATTCCTTAATTATCTAGAGAGTACTTTCAGGCACCTACCCCTAACCCCTGTGGTGCCAACAGCCATTAGAGAGAGACCCACCCTGAGACAAACATACCTGGAGGGAGCAGAGTTCTGCTGCTCTCTTTTGGCCCAGTGCTGGAGCATTGCCAAAATTCCCACCTGCATCTCCATTTCTTTACTGTGGCTCAACAGTATCCTCCCATTCAGGTAATCCCACCGCATCTGAGAGGCAGCAGAGCAGAGGCCTTTCTTAGACCCTCCAGAAGGTACAGGCAGGTCTGGGCAGCACCAGGCTGCAGAGACCCACATCTTGCCTTGCTGATAACACATCCAGCTCAGGCTGATAACATGAAAGCAAAGGCTTTCTGGGCTCAGGAAGAGCATGCAGAACTGCACAAACTGTGTCTGCAACAGCACAGCTTATAGGCTAGGGCTATAAGCCTTCCTTGCATCCATAGCTTCAGTTACTAGTCATTCCCAGAAACAGCACACAAAGCCAAAGCCCTCCCACTTCTTCAGCTCCCTTAGGACATGCCCATTGGCCTGCACACTAACTCTGCCCCTGCTAGGAAGCCCTTGCTAGGGACGTTCCTAGTGTGCACTGCCCTTGTTGCTTACCTGTCCATAATGAACATCAGTATAAATTTTGTTCTCAAAATGCAGAGATGTCCTCCAGATGAGCCTGCGTAAAGTCACAGTCACCAACTTGTCCTCCAGCAGGTAATCATGAAGATACTCCTCTGATCTTATCGGCCTCACCATTTTATCTACATGTTTACACAGAGAGAGGGTCATTGCTCTTGGTGCTGAGACAACAGGCTGAGCTCCACAGCCTGGGACAGGGCCCTTCCTGCACACCTCTATTCCACCCTGCCCTTATGACTCTCAGCATCAGCCATTCTAGAGGGCACGGACCCACACAGACACACACACCTCTTTCAGGAACAAGCAACACAGCCTCTGAGAAGGCACAATCCTTAACCCTAGTACAGAAGGAAACTGCTGAAGAGAAACCTTCCCAGAGCCAGCAAGGGTGGGGCAACCATTTGAAATAGTAGCATGGTACTTCTTGTTGGAGGAACTCCTTTAAGAAAGAAGCTAGATGCTAGTCTCTACTTGCCGAGGTTATTGTTGTCACGCCTGATGGCAAAAAGAACAAAGTCCTCTATCTCCTTCTGTTCGCCTGCCCCCATCTGCTCACACATCTCCTGCAAGAGCTCCTTTGCTACCTGAAGCAAGGAAAGAAGCAAATAAGTACCATGGGCAGGCAAGCCCAAAGCAGCCCCAGAGCAGTTAAGACATACTGGGCCTGCTGGCGGGCAGCAACAGGGCTCTGGCCATTGCACAAAGAAGCAAGCTGGGTGAGGCATCCCAGCATTGTGCAGACCCTGCGGAGATACACTGCTGACAGGGGTTCCTAGGAAGTGAGTGGGAAACTGTCACAGCACTGTGGGAAGCACAGGCCAAGCCCAAGGTTCTGACAGACCAAGGAGTTCCCTGGTGTGGCTCAGAGTCCAGACCAATGAAGAAATTCAAAGCAGAAGACTCACAGTGAATGTCTTGATTCTGGTGAGGTATTCTATGCCTCCAGGCATCAGTATCACTAGCCGTCGGGCACCATGCCCCTTCTGCAAAGGGACAGTATTTAGGCAGCAAGACATGCAAGATCCCATCAGCCCCACAACGGTTTCTCCCTTTTCCTTCCTCCTCAACCCTGCCTTCCACTACTTGCTCATAGTACCTGCCTCTTCCCTGCCCACATCCCTGCCTACTCCATGGCATTGCGCTTCCCAGTCCCCCTTACAGGCAGATGCCTCGTTTCCTCTCTTGAAACACTAGCCACCCCGTAACACTGCACATGGCACCTCCTGGCAAGCCTCTGCCCTCCCTCTCTTCCCAGCTTCCCCACTTCTCTGCCGCTCAATACCAGCAATGCCTCTATCTGCACGGGCCAAGGAAGGTGGCGACGGCCCCCATACAGGAAACTTTTCCGCAGGTTGCTCTGACAGCTCTTGGCTATATCTGCAGAAAAAAGGAAAAACTTCATGTGCTGAGCCAAATAGAGGACTAAGCATTTTCTCCTATGGGATTGGGTCATCCTGGCTGTGTTGAATTTAACCCAGGGCTGCTGCTAGGAGAGGAAAGAGACTTGACCCCATCTCCCATTCTGCCAGGACATGTCCAAATCATGAGGGGCTAGACCCAGACAGCAGTAGTCCAGGGCAATAAGAGTACACAGGAATAATAGGATGGGATAACTAGAACCCTCTTCTCTGGCAGGATTCCAACCCAAATACCTCCCAGCTGATAACTCTGGAAGACCACAGTCTGCCTTTCCCCCAAGGTCTAGTTGTCAAATGACCTAAGCCGCAGGGCTAAGCTAAGCCTCCGAGAGACACACAGTTCTACTTTGCCTGGGTGAACATGCAATGGGAAATGACCTCTGTAAACAGAAAGACTAGAAGTACAAAGCAGACTCTGGCCTGCAGGCTCAGTCCCTCAGTACCCCACTCAATTCTCCTGTCTTAACAGGATAAGGGAAATTTCCCCATTGGACCATGTCCCCACATGGATCCTGTCTGTCTTTGACCACTGGGACTTACAACAAGGGGGCATCCGTTTATTTTACAGGACACAGAAACAGTCATACCTTGATGGGTGCTAGACGGATCACTGCTGGCTAGCTGCAGAAACTTGGTGGCATAGGGCATCAGGATGTTAGAAGGGAGGAAGTATCCAGTCAGCAGATACAGGAGCAACCAACCACGCAGCACACTCTCCCTGCAGGACAGAAAGAACTGTGGGTACCTTGGAACAAGACAATTCCTGCTCCAAGCAGCTCAAAGTGAGACTCTGCCCTTCTGAACACCTTTGGGAGGTGGCAGAAAATGAGATGGTGGCCTGTGGTCAGAGATTTCTTACACTGAGGAAGGGATTAATTCAGTTATTCTGACAACAGACAAAGAAAAGGAACAGTCAAGGCCACTCTGATGCCTTTGCTGCCATGTTACAGGGCAGCGTGGGGTCAAGCCAGACCTAACTCTTGTATCAGTTCCTTGGGACTTGATGAGGAAATCAGAGCTCTGAGCAGCACCACTACCAGGAGCTACCAAGAATGTTTACCAGTGCCCAGATATATCAGTAGCCAGAAATACAAGGACAAACATCCATTGAAGTGAAAAAGCCAAACCTAATGGCTGGCTAAATTTCCTGAGTTCTCAACAAAAGCTCCAGCAACTGAGTAGCTGGGGACAATACATCATTAGGGGCAGCCTCTCCCCTGGTCCTGCTGTCATGCAGAAAGGCAGATGGTTCCCCTCCAGCTGTGCATACACAGAAGCTGACAGTGCTAGTACTCACTGGTTAGGGTTGTAGGTGACCTGTTTGATGACCTGGCAGTAGACTTCATCATGCAAACTCTCCTTCTCCTTGCACAGCTGCATTCAGAGAGGAGAAGACAGCATCAGAGAGGGGATGAGGGCATGAGAGGCCCCAGGTTGTCTCTGTGCCCTTCCTGTCCCAGCTCTGGAGCTCTGCCAATGTGGCCTAAAGCTTGGGTTTTGCAACCTCTGGCCTCTAGTGCTGTCTAGGCCCAAAGAAGGAGAGGCAGGTTGTGCTCTCATCCAGACAGTGATGTCTGGAGAAACCATTTGCATGTGACCTCTCCCCTCCATGTTTTTTAATCAGCCTCTCTGTTTCAGCTCCTTTTCTCACACAGGAGGTTGCATTATGTCTCTCCCTGCTCTCTCCTTTCCCAGCAAGGTCTTGGCCCTTCATTCCCATTGGTGCTTTAGCGCCTTGCCCAGAGGAAGGTCACAAACCTGAAGGATTTCATAGATGCATTCAACCTCACTTTGGTTCTTGAGTTTTGATTCATCTCCCATGAACCGCATCAGAGCTGCAAAGCAAAGGCTAGCATTTAGGTCTAAGCAGAGGTGATCCTGCCATGGGGCAGGCAGTAGACTAGAAATGTCCTGAAAACTTTTCTGCTCCACAGGCTATTATGCAGCTTGCATTGGACATGTGTAATTGGTGGGGCATCAGCCCAGGCAGTGTGTGTTCTTGGACACTTTGCACTCAAGGCAAAATGCATTTTGCTGGACCCTTTCAGCATGGACACAGGTGGTTATTAACTGCAGAATGCCTTAAGAGGGGCCCTACTCTCATAGTTTTCATTCCCTGCTCTGGGCCCCATGATGCCTATGTGTGGCCACCAAGGCCATCCCACTCATCCCTGCTACAGCCTCTGCAGTGTTGTGTCCTAGGGAGGTACTTACTCTTGAAGTTCTTTGTAGCAAGCTCATTCAACTCACTATCAGAGTACCAGAGCAAAGATTCCTGGATTGGGACCTGCAGGGCCAGAATACAAGGGTAAGCTGGGGAGGCAGATTGCCCAGAGCTCTGCTTCAGGCTTCACAAAAGACACAAGCTCCCAGTATCTTGCAGGCAGCACTGAAGAGCAGAGGGCACCTACAGTCCTCCAGAGACTGCAGCCAAGTATCTGCCCTCTGTGTTTTTGCCATGTGGGGACAAAGCTAGAGGCAATGCTGGAGCTGGGATTCTGGCTGTAGCTATGGGGAGAGACGGGGCTCACCTTGGTGTGCCGGACCAGGTCCATTTCACTCTTCTTTTCAGCAGACGTCCCCTTCAGTCCCTGCCTAGACAGAGGAGTGAGAACATGCAATCCAAGAAACATCCCCAGAAATGGGTTGGTGTGGGTCAGGCTACACAGATTCTGTGTATGCCTGTTCAGGAAGGACCACAACCTACTCACGTGGGCCAAGCCTCTCGGAAGTAGGCTGTGGCGAAGTCCATCATGGTATAGTGGTCACCAGCAGGGACCAACATGATGCTGTCAGGTTCTGATGTCAGGCTGGGAACAGAACTCTGCAGGGAAAGGCACCAAACCCACTCTGAAATGTTAGCTGAGGAACTGCAAGGTGTATTCTCCTCACCTGACGGACCTGGGAAGGCCTCATGTATGTGAGGTGCCTCCCCCTTCCACTATGATAGTATTTGAGCATCTCCATCTGCAAGGATTAAGCAGTCATCTTCTTCCCTCTAGCCTTGGAGGTCAGACACTATCAGGGCCATGGACCCACCCTGGCAGATCCCACAGAATCCAGCCATGTCCCCTGGCAGTTCCCCAAAGGACAACTCACCTCCCTGCTGGTGTTCCTTCTCTCTGGGGAAGCTTTCATGCTCTTCTGCAGCTCTCCATGTCTGTCCATGCTAGTGCTGAGGTAATCAGGGGCTGCAGCCAATTGCACCAGGCTGGTGGGGAAAATACCACAGCGGCCACCAGTGGACCCAAACTGCCAGCCTGCAGAAACAGGGGAGAAAGAGTCAGGAACAGTGGCAGCTACCAAGAGAAATGAGCAGCGAGGCATCCTACTGGCGAAGGAGAACATCAGACTCTGATCAGACTTTCCAGCCTCCTAAGATAACATCCCCTATAACTGTGGCAGCTGGAACAAGGTGGGTCACAGTCAGAGAATGGCAGAGCTGAAAGCTGACTGCCAGCCCTTAACAGTCTGCCTTCCTCTGGTTTATGCGACAGCAGCATGCAGAGCTTCTGGGCACCACGGGTCCATCAGGCCCTTGAACCCAGTCCCCACCTTTCCTGCCAATCTCAACTAACTTCTTCACCTGGCTCCACGCCTTGCATGGGCCGTAACTCAATGAGGTCACCCTTCTTGAAGCTAAGAAGGCTCTTGTCATCCGCGATGTAGCTGCGCAGAGCAATGACGTAGTTGGTGTCCTAGGGAAAAAGCAATGGAGAAGTCAAATCTCACCACCAGAATGTGAGGGACTCAGACCATAGCATTCCATGGACCTTCTCAGGTCCATGTGGGAAACCACCTTCATTCCCTACTGCACTACAGCCACTCCCTCACCTGCCTCAGCTCTTGGATGAAGAGTTCTACCATGGTCTTGATGCATGGAGCCTTTGGAGAGTGCAGTAAGAGCTGCTCTGTCTTCAGAGAGAATTCCAGGGCACTGCTGCCCTTCAGTTCCACTGACAGCACATCTGCAAAGCTGAGAACACAGCCAGCATGCTCAGGCTCCTTCCGCCAGAACTAGGAATGCAGGTCATGGGGATGGGAGCTCATTCCAAGGAGAATGGAGACAGGCCTCAGCATGCTCCAGAGGGTGGCCCTTCATCAGCATTGTATTGCAACAGTAATAGCACCATAGGCTGCTCATGCTTTCACCGTAGCACTCTGAGGACCCCCCCTTGTGATGACATGCATGGAGCTGACTCACACCTATCACTCACTCATTGTAAGAAAAGCACAAGGTAGGAAGGAAAGGGGAAGGCCAAACGCATTAGAAAGAGGGTCGTTGAGTCACAACTGGCCCAGGACAATCCTAGAGAGCACAGTGCAACCAAACAATTTTCAGCTTACCTGTTCAGTCTGCCTCTTACACTCTGAAAGCATCTTGCAAGTGACAAATTGTCATCCTTGCAGCAACGACCACCCTTTTGCTTACCTGTAGCTGCGAAGAATTTTCAGGTGCTCAGGATTATAGCCAGCTGCTTTCACCACCTTCAGCAGACGTATGCCCCTGTGAGAAACACCCAGGATCTGGACATCACTTCCATTTTCACCCTGAAAGGGAAGTGCAGCAGAGAGCATCAAAGGCTCCATCCCACCTGAACAGAATGCAGCAGGGGAAGAAGATACTACCACATGTACCACGAAGGAGGCCCTGGGCTGACAGAGGTGTCAAACCCAGCAACATTTTCACAGAAACTTAGAAAATGGAGAGAGCAAGTAAAGGAAGAAAGAGGAGCAGGACTCTGAGAGTGCAGAGAGGCAAATAGGAGAACTATGGGGACAAAGACTCAAGTGACAGCTGCCAAGCAGGCAGCCTGCACAAACAGAAAAATGGTTAGGGCATCAGAGTGATAGCAAGTAAGGAAAAAGGTAGAGAAGGCACAGAAGAATAAGTGATATATGGCTAGGCAGGGAGAGACAGCCAGGACAGAAAGAGACCCCAGGTGAACTAGGGGGTTCAGCTAAGGCAAGCCCAGGGTCTGGCAAGAAGATTAAGACTCACGTAAACTGGGAAAAGGCGGGAGAAATAGTTAGCCCAGTTATCCCGAGCAGCCAGTACAATCCTCTTCTTTATCCCATCCTCCTGAATGGACTGAACATCACTGCCAACCTGGAACGCCACTAGCAGGGTTACAAAAGCAGATACTTTCTCAGTAAGACAAAGATGGGCAAGTCTCCCTCTGCCCAGGCACTCATTCCCACCAGTCTCCCTCAGAGATTACAGTGCAGCAAACAATGTGCAGAGGCAAAAGGATACCACATTACTTGCACACACCAGTCTACTACTAGTTTCTCTCCCCCTCTCCATGAAGCTCCTGTCAAAGAACACAGTAGGATTTTGAGACAACTCAGAATCCCATTCTTAGGCCTCAGTTTGCTCTCCCCACAATAAACATATCAGAACTAAATTTTTCTGGCTCAGAGAAATTTCAGGGCCATTTCATGGCCATCTGGAATAAACAAACATTCCTACACTGCACTACACAGCACACACAAATGTGCTTTCTTGCTGCAGTGACAAACATTTCTCCTCTGCCCTAAGTCCTGTCTGAAAGGGCTTGGAGGCTGGTTTCTCATTTCAAACCAAAAGCTGGGATGGGCACAGGGAGGAAGGGATGATGGGGCTGTTAGTTACTCAGCAGGTCTTTCATCTTGCGCTTCTCCTCCCTGGAGATCCGAAAGCAAGAATCAGAGAAGGTGTCACGTATGATCTGCAGAGGAAGGAAACAAAGAGGCTTCCGTTGAAAAGGCCACATCTCAATGTATTGGAGCAGCTGAGGTTGTTGAACCGACTGAGTTTCAGAGAGGACTGAACAGAGGCTTGACTGGATGGACCTGGAGAAGAGACTAACACCGCTAGGGATGCAGAGGTGAAGGCAATTTATGCAGTGTAATTATGGAGTGTTTTGTTCCCAAACAGAGAGACAACAGGCCTTGAGTCATACACCAGTACATACCTGTTCACACAGCAAATTCAGACAATAAGGGTGACTGAAATTTTCTTTGGGGTAAAATACCTGCAAGAGGAGGATAAAACCAATAGTAATGTTACAGATGTTTACAGATGTTGCAGAAATAGGTCCCCAAGGATGTTTTGTAATCCATATGCCCTACTGCCAGAGAGGGATGAGTCCATTTCCAAGGACAGGCAGGGAAGAGACAATGTGAATGTAAACAGAAGGACCAAAAGTAAAGTGGTGAGACCATGGGATGAACCTTGGTCAGTTCAGTGCACTCTCCAATACTTGATTTTAAACACATTTATACTATTTTAACAGGAAAGCACCAGGTAACAACAAATTTACGCTTTATTTGTAGATTTCTCAGCGTTTTACAGAGGAAGGAAAGGACAGGAAATTGAGACACCAGAGTCAGTAAGACAGAGTAGGACTCAGATCCCCTTATGAGATGATCCCCTGCCTCTGACTCCTTGTATCATGTGACCTCCCAGAACTGTCTTTGTGCTCTTATATCACACTGGGTGCCTTTGACAAAAAAATTATTTTAACCAAATGTGGGACCGGTTCCCTCCTGCCCTAGCCAGCCCTCAGCTAATGAACTGTACCTCTTTGCGCAGAAAAATCTTCCAGGCAGGGTTGACATAGGAAAAGCTGACACTGGCAGTGAGCTTGTACAGCTGGGTCTTGATACCGTCATCTTCTGCCACTGTTACAGTAGAGTCTGTGTGAGGAGAGAGAGCAGTCAGGATGGGCTTTGCTGACTACAGGGTCACCTTCCCACCTGCCAATGACCTACCAAGAGAAAGAGGACAGTACCATGTCCCTGATTGAAGATTACTGTCAAGAACCCTCCTGAAGGTCAGAGATCAGCTAATGTGAATGCATGCACAAAACAGTCATCATGTGAGTACTGGCATTTCTCATAGCATTTATGCTTGCTGTATTAGCCACAAAGTTCAGTGCTTATAATAGAAACACTCCAGAGTGCTTCTCTGCTGAGAAGCATTAGCTATGTCATTTTTTAGGTGGGCAGCATCCAGACACTCCTTATGTGGCCAGTGTCCAGTGTCTCCCAGGCTCTCATTCTCCCTCTGAGAAACAAACATTCCTTCATTCCTCAGCCTGTCTCTAAGGATCCTCCAGAGGCTCTAGAAGGCAAAACACCCGGCTTCCCATTCCTCCCTGGTCTAAAGTGCATCTGTTGAGAATTGCAACTTTGATAAAGTAATTATGCTTCAGGGAGGTAATGAAACATGTTGTGGACTGGACCGTGATAAAGCTGTAGCCCAAAGGTCTTTTCTGTTTTTAGCTCCATTTTTCAGAGAAACCCAGCCCCTCCATCATTTGTTCCTGACATTCTATGCTGCACTGGGAAGAGAACAGTTAGAGCTGGGAAGTGCCATGCTGAGTGCTGGGCCAGACTGGAACTATGGTAACAGTCTCTGATTTTGCACAGCCCACTCAGTCTTTGGCCAGCTGACCGATGACAGAGCATGTGCCGTGACTGTCCCGGGCCACTGGGCTGATTCCGACACCATCCCTGCCCCACTGCTACCAAAACCCAGTTGGGTGAAGTCAATACTCACCCTTCCCTGTGGATTCCTGCCGGCCTTGGTTCCCAGGCAGGAGAGGCAAAGGCAATGGTGGGGGAGGAGGGGGAGCAGGAGGGGCCTGGGAACCTGGTGGGGTACTCTCTTGGCTGAAGATGGACAGGAGAGGCAACTGCTTCTCCTTGATAGAGCTGGAAGCTGAGACTGGCTTGGGCTTGGGAGGTGGAGGTGTTCTCTTCTCTTGTGGCAGGGGGGATGGCTGCAAAACAGCACAATCATTTGACACAGTCATCATCTGCATTACTGTGCTCTGTCCTGACACTGCTGTTATAAATCATCCCTAGGGCAGCAGTTCAACCCTAGAAGCATGATCTGTATGAACAGAGATACCAGGACCTTTAAATCAGCACATGGTCTACAAACAGATGAAGATCAAGCAAACCCAGGTGCAGAGAACCAAGTATTTGAGCTTGAAGCCTCCGGCTGGGAAGGGGAAAGAAGATATTAATGGGCCAAGACCTTGGTGCCAATGGGGGGAACATGAGTTGCTTGCTTCCAGATCAGCCTTAAACACACCACAATAGGACTTGCTGCTCCAGAGCCTTTTGTCCAGGTCCTCAAGTGACTTTACAGACAGGAACCCTGTCTAGGAGGGGCAGCACCACAGTACGAGCTCACAGTCTTCTAGTAATGCAATCACCCAGCTGCTACTGCACTACCAGGTAGCTCTCAACCTCTTGAAGGCTGAATATACAGGCCCTCTCTGCTGAGCTCTTAGGTGACCAGAGAGCAAAGAACTCACTGATTTGGGAGATGGGAGGTTCATCATTCCCAGCTTGGCCAGAGCCTCATTTTTGGGGTCATTCTTCTTTATAAACGGCTTGGACACTCTCCTGCAAAGAAATGAGGAACACAGTTAGAGGGGCTGCAGAGGGGTTGTGGCCACAATGGAGCCATGTGGCCACATGGCTGGGATACAGTCCCACTCATCTCTTTCCTGCCCACCTGGGTACATCCCACTCTCTCACCTCACAGGCTCAATAGGCTGGGGCTCAGGGGCTGGCCTGCTCTGGTACATTTTGATGATGTTGCGGATCTCCCGGCTGGGTGCAGGCCGCGACTCGAGGCCTGCAGGCTTCACTACAGGTGGCTCCTTCTCCACTTTTGGTGTCTCTTTTTTTGGCTTTGGCTCAGGACGTGGCAAAGGGGAAGCAGGAGCTATTGGGGATGACAGCTTTAACCAACAGACCAGCAAAGACACAGGAGAAATTCCTTTATCTCTTTTGAAGCTCCCTCTCTTTCACCACTGGGCTGACTGGCCACGGCCTTCCACTGCCTTGCTTTGGGATCCCACTTCCCAAAGCTCAGGCCTTCCGCTGTCTCCTCTGCTGTCAAGATGCAGAATCCCAGAAGAGCCAGATCCTTTCCCCCTCTGTCTATGTCCTGGCCCAATGCTCCTGGAAAGTTCCTGCTTTTCAGCCTGCCTGAGTCTCCACTGCACATCATCTTACCTGCCTCTGTTTTATGGCTAGGCTTCTCTTCTTTCTTCTTCTCCTGCTCTTCTTCCTTCTCCTCCTCCTCGTGCTTTGGCTGGGGATTTGCTGGAGGGGTCCAAGTTTTGGAGGGAGGCCTGACTTTCCTCACTTGGATCTGTTGCTCTCCTGCATAGGAAGGGGGATTTGAGCTAGTTAAACCCAGAGCCTAAACATTGCACTAATGGCATGGTTCCCACCCTTGCATCAGTCAGCAGAAGCCTGGTTTGTAGAGGCAAAGGGGGGTGTGGCAGTCACAAACCCGAAGATTTCTAGAAAAATGGCAACACAGCCTCACAACCTGAATCGTAGCCAGCCGAGCAGGCACCCAAAACTCCTGCTACACACAGCACCAGCAGCTCCTGCAGGGTTTAGCCAGGTTCCAGACAGGGAGGCAAGAATTCCTTGTCATGTCAGGGAGGCTGCAGAACAAGGTGTTATGATGAGTGAAATTACCAAAATGGTAGATGCTTACCCATCTTCTGAAAATACTCTCTCTTCTGCTGGAAAGTTTCCCGAGGATAGTCATCACCTTCACTCTTGGTGAACTGGTGTTCCATGTAGTTATAAACCTGCAAGCAGTTCACAATATGGTTAGTTAGCACTAACCAGCAACCATTAAGTACTGTTAAGTTCAGAGGTGATCTTCCCTTACCAAGTTCTGATCTAGAACTTCTCCCCATCTGGGAGGATCCCAAGAGATCAGTCTCTGGCCCAAGGAATCATCAAGCAAGCCCAGAGAAAGAGGAGTATGTTAGAAGCCCAAGGCAGCTTGCTAAGAGATAAAGAATTCAGAGTGATGAATATTCCTATGGTAAAATTCAGATCAACTGGGAATTAATTGGCCAACAATGCAGCCAAACCTCCACAGAGCTAATGCCACCAAGGTTTGATCCGGTGTCTTAAAGAATCAGCAAGCAGAGTTTGAAAGGCCTCTGTATCATAAGTAAGTATAACTTTCTGCTCTCCTCTCTGCCAAACCACTGCTACACAGGAAGGGAAGCGAAGCAAAGGGACGCTGAGCAAACGCAAATCATTAAATTCAAACCAAATTCACCACCGCTGTTTGTTTTTCATACCAGTTCTTCTGCCTTAGCTGGTGGTTCTGAAGCCTTTGGTGGTGGTGCCACGTTCTGGCTGCTGGGAGGCTTCTTGGGTTTCGGGGAAGTGGCTGGGAACGGAGCTGAGGCTGGAGCCGGGCCTTGGGCTTGTGGTGGACCTGAGACTCGTGGCCTTGAGTTCTCAAGAGATTGTTGCCACCGCTGCTGTTGCTGGGAAATGCTCATGGCTTGAAGGGTCATCTGCTGGGCCTGGAGGAAGGAATTGCAATGTCCATGAGCTCTAGGCTGCACAAAACCACCAGCCATCAGTCAGGCGATCCCATTCTTTCACTGGTAATCACAGAACATCTACACAATTCCCTGAAAATTTCCCAGTGTTGTGGACAAGGCATGCCCAGGGAGTCTGCTCCCACCTGGACAAGTGTGCAGAGCTCCTAACAATACCCCAAAGACTCAGCTACCAGTGTGATAGCCTGGGACCTCCATGCGCTCACAAGGCATGGAAAGCAGAACACTGCAGATCTGCATGTGTAACAAATCCCAACTTAAAAACACATGTGAATTACAGCTGAGGCTTCTTGGGGCCTGCTTTTGTCCCTGCTACTCACTCACCTAGGGTGCCTCAGTGTCCCCATGTACACAAAGCAGCAAAAAGGGGGTTCCCAGTTTTGCAATCTTAAATAATCCCAACTTTATATACCTAAGCCCCAGCGCATAAACAGAGTGTTACAGAGCAGGCCTAATGTAGGAGGGGAGCATGGATAACCTCTTCACAGCACATACACCAGTGCATTGTTCTTCCCCAATTCCTGAGCCCCTTCCAGCCAGTTGCTTCCACTCACCATGAGCATGGCTTGCTGGCTGATAAAGGCTTGCTGTTGTGCTGTTAACTGATTGGGATCCACAGCTGGAATCACAGGCTGGGGCATAATCATGGCTGTGGAAGACACACATGTCTGCAAACACCCACAGGCAATCATTCCCCACAGTGCCCGAGCATCAGCTCAGAACTGAGTGTTCACTGTGCACCCTGGCTGACATTCAAATGCACAGGCTCCATTACGACACCCACCCTTCCATCCTCTTCCCCTGTACAGTTACTGAAACACTGTGTTATTACCTGGCATAGGTGCAATCCCACCAGCTGCTGGCATCATAGGCATGGCTGCTGGCATCCCCATCATCGAAGGCATGGTCTGGTAAACTGGTGCTTGAGTCATTCCAGAGAAGCCTAGAGGCAAAAAGCTATACAATGCTTTTGGAGAATCATGGATCAGTCCCACAGAATATATCACATAGGCTGGGTACCTCTGCTTCTCTCCACGTGCACCAACCATAGGGACATGTGAATGGTTTATCTCTTCACACACAGCAGGACACAGCAAAACACAGGTGGAAAAAATGAAACCGAAGAGAAATGCCTGCCAGACTTTACAATAGCAGAATCTAGACCCCGCTTCTGCAGTGTAGCTTAGGACACCACCATCCTTCATGATAAGCATATAAATAACTCCTGCCTACGTATGATTACAGAGAAAGGTTTCTCTTGAGGGTTGGGCAAAGCTCTCTGGGACTGCCAGATCCATATCAGTCTCTTTGCAGCAGGTAGCAAGGGTGAAAGAACAATGAGCCCTGGCCTGGGTGGCATTGTGTATCATGTGGAGGACTTGTGGGGAAAAAGGAATTCCCCTGCTCCCAGCAGTCAAGTCCCCCATGAGACCACAAAACAGAAATCTCACTGAGGGCAAAGCCAGCAGAGCAAGGGGCACAGAGGTCAGCCTCAGCTAGGAGTGAGTCAGCACACAGCACAGGTTGACTGAATCATGTCCTCGTCAGTGAGAATGGCCCAAGGATGCCATGGAGAGGTTTTCACATCCCTCACTGATGTAAGTAGCCACATGAGTGACAAACTGACCTCAGGCTAGTGATCTGTAATAGGGCTTGTCATGACCCAGAGCCTCTACAATAGCCAAAAATAGCCCCAGCCTCAGTAATAATTTGAACAGGACATTCCCCACCATTCTGAAACAGCTGGGTGTGTTCCTACATATGCAGATTTCTCAGTGCCATTAATACATTGGTGTTTGACTCCACCCTACTGAAAATACCCAAGTCTTAGCTGCACAGAAATGAGGAAAAGTAAAGAAATCAAACACACAAACCAGAACTCTGCAGGGTTCAGACTTACTAACCAAAGGAATAGCTAGAGATGATGGGAAAGTCTGTAAGGAAGCAATAAGAAAGATTAAAACCTTCCCCTGAGAAAGGCAGCAACTATTTTGTGAAAGCACAAGGTGAACAGAAGGTGAATGCAGGACTAGTATTGGCCTAGGGAAGAGGTGGCCTGGTTCAGAAGCAAGCTACCTATTGCCTTGACCCCAAGAACAACCCAAGAGAGAAATTAAAAGCAGAACAAAGGTGGTACCCCTTACCTAGCACCTTTCCCAAAGCACCTGTCTCCCAGCACCTGGGAGTGAGGAATGCAACTTCTGATGGCCTACGCTGAAGACCAATGCTCTTCATGAATCATTTGAGCCCATGTAATAATTAACATTTAAGGGACTCCCTGACTTGTGCTAACTGAAGCTTATGTAGCCTCACAGCTGTTCCCAGTGGTTCCCACCCCCTTACAGACCTGTAGAAGGAAAGATTCCTCTCTGTGTGGGTCCAATCTTCCCACCTCCTTTCATGCGTCCAGTCAGACTCTCCCTGTTCTCCATATCCTGCACCAAGAAAAAAGAGAGTTATCTGAGCTCAGAGAGAGAGACTTAACAAGGGGAGAGTCACCTGAAGGCATATGTGAGCTGAGCAGAGGCAGAGTGAATAGGCAGAGGCATGCTTGAAGGAATGACAGGGACAGGAGAGATGAGAGAAAGTAAAAGGGAACGTCAAGGTACTTACTGGTACTCTGGAGCCTTGATGCAGCACAGTGCTGAAGAGATCATCCACATAGTGATCCAAGCCTACAGGGGTCCTCAGGTTATCTCTGAATCTTTGATCTAAGAGCAGAGAGAAGTCTGATCACAAGGCAGGTAAGGAACATTTCCCCTGTCTCAAATCCCTATGAGACAGTCATGTTTTGAAGTGGAGCCCTTCCTTGCTGTACATCAGGAATCCCCTGTCTCCCTCTCTGCTCTGATTCCCTGGCTGGGGCCCATCTGGCCCTCCCCAGTGCCAGCCACAGTCCTGGGCAAGAGCTTACCTAGATGGAGATTGTTGAATTCTGGAGGCAGGCTAGGCGGTGGGAAAGTAGGGGCCTGTATGCCTGGAGCAGGAGGGATCCTGTTGAAGTGGAAAATGAGATGAGAACAGCACAGAGTGCTGAGAAGTACAAGCCACTGGGTGACAGGGACACAGATGGTGGGGCAGGAGGATAAGGTGACTCACAAATCCAGGTCAGAGTTCTGGAGGAAGCTTCTCTTCCTTTCAGGAGTGATGGGATACTCAGCTGAGGACTGAGAGGTGCTGCTGAGGTTGCTGGCATCTTCCATCTCTCCAATGAGATCCAGCACAAAGTCACAGCCCAGCAGGTCCTGCCATGTGTTGCCAGTAAACATGGAGATAGACCACCCTTGAGACTTCTTATCACAGCCTCTGGTAAACAGGGAAAGGAAGGAGAGAATAGGTGTCTGGGTAGGCAGGGGAAAGGGACAGAAAGGAAAACATTGCATCCAGTTGCCTCTTGCCTTGTCTATCCTGGCTTAAGTCCTTAAGATTTAGCATGTGAATCAACAATTAAGTGCCCAGGGTCAGGAAAAAATAGAATTACTCAAGTTTTGGGGTTGGTTTTTTTTTTTCATGTTTTCTCTGAAGATGCACTGACAGATCACACCAATGATTCCTCTGTTCCTAAAGAGGCCCACAGTTTATGCACACAGAGAGAATTGTAGAATCATGTAAAGGTTTGGGTTGGAAGAGACCTTAAAGATCATCTAGTTCCAACCCCCCTGCTATGTGCAGGGATGCCCTCCACTAAATCAGGTGGGTGAAGGAGAGAGCACAAGCCAGAGTGGGTAAGGAGTGGCTATTCCACATTTGTCTATATAAGTTCTAGCCTGCATCCCTGAACAGTCTGAACCCTACAACTAGCGACAGCCTCTTTCACATACACAGATCTTCTCCCACCCTCTGGCAGTACCTTGCACTCAGGATCCAGCCTGCATACTGCTCTCCAGTCATCCAGGACTCCACCTCAGCTGAGAACTTTTCCTCTAGCACAGAAAAGAAAGTCAGTACACACAGCCCCACCAGCAGGACACAAAGCAATACCTAAGCTCTGCAGTGGACAGGCAGAACCCAGCTGGAAAGTCTCAAGCACTCCTGGGGTGGGGGGGTGGGAAGACTGAAAGCAGATGGAGGGCTCCACATGTACACATTCACATCCAGAATAACTGTTTGATAGCACAGGTTGCCATTTCCAACCTGACAGCTGAAAACACTCACAGTGTCATGGTTTGCTTGGGCCACCACTCCACTCACCAAGGAGCCAGAGCAGGGATGTCCTGCATCCAATTCACAAAGCTTCTGAGCAATCAAGAGGCAGCATAAGCCAATATTTGAGAAGAAAGGAAGGCAGAAAGTCCCTGTAAAAGGCATCAGTTGCTGCTGCCTGAGCTATGCAGTAGTGGATAACATGAAAACTGGACCCAGAGGCATGCACAACCAGAATAGTGCTCTGTTGAGATGGGCCCAAACTCAGAAGAATCTCATCCCTCAGCTTGAGTAGCAGGTCTGAGCTCATCAGGCTCAGACTTTGGGATTTTTGGTTCTAGATTCAGATGCTTGTATTCCCCATGGTTGTACCAGTCAGAAGCAATCGGTGTTCTGATCCCTCTTTGCTAAGCTGAGGGAAGTGTTTTCTGAATGCTGATTTCTGCACTGGAAAAGTCCTTAGGAACTAGAAGACAGTGGAAGAGCAGAAGCACAAGTTACCATTAAAAGTATGAACATCCAGCACCATCTTCCCTCTCCTCTGGTTTGCAGTCCACTCCAGCTGAGTGGGAGGGTAGGCCCGAGAGAATGTAGAGTCTATCTTAGTGTGCTGTGCTGCTGTCAAGATCTTGCGCTGGCAAACAGCATTGTAGCCCTCCATGCCATGATCTGACACAAATCTAGGAAAAGGCAACTGCCTTTAGCACACTGCTCATCTGTCTTAACCTTAATGAAAGTATAGCTTGGTCTTTTCTCCTCCTTACTTCAGCAGTGGCTTCTCCAGTGCTGGTGAAGGAGCAAAGCAGCTCAGCAAAGTCACCATCAGGACCCAAGCTCGCTGGCTGTGCTCCATGTCTGGGTTCTTCCATGTCTGGGCAACCACCTGACTGAAGATTTCATTGCGCAGAGCCACATTATTCAAACCTCTCCCAGCAATGTAGTTGCCCAGAAGTACCTGCTGCCAGCCATGGAGATCCTTGTCACCAATGAACCGCAAAATCTAGAAGCGTCCAGGGATAAAAAAAGAGAGAGCTCTATCTGTAACCTTCTGTCCCAAACTGTGTTGTGCAGTGACAACCTGGGCTGTAGGCACCAGGGTGGTTGTGAGCCTAAGACCAGTAGACGATACTGAGACTGGGATCTGTTCTCAGGTTTTGTGCGCCACCTAAGCTCTGGAGAATTTGGGAGACAGAGTTCATAGAGATAGGAACCTGACTAAAAGTCAGGACGACTTCAGTTGCTTCTTAATTACGCCTCTGACTCAGAATTTCTTCTTGCACAAAATACTTCCCCTTATTTAGGCAGAGCTCAGATACACAAGCAAGATACCATAGGCTATTTGTTACTGTGTCTGAGCCCACAGGCTGCCCAGCTGTAAAGATATGTAAAAGAAATTGATGCTTAGCCCATCTTTGTGAAAAGCTCAGAGTGCCAGACATGAGGAAACACTGTCTCTAACAATTGAATGTTAAAAAGACTTCAGTGCGGTTAATATTATATGAAGTAGTATGAGATGTGATATCTCAACCAACTCACTTAAGTAATGATTCAGCTTCTTGGCTATGCATACTAACATCTCAGATGCTTTTGTAATTTACATTTCTCACCCTTAGGTACAGAATAATTTCTTTCAGCCTCTACTCTTAAATATATTATTAGATTAAAATTTTTCTAAAATGTGCCATGGACAGCTTTGGAGAGGACATTTATGAGCAACAGCCTATTTTTTTCCTCAGAGAACAATACTTCTTAAAATGTTTAATGGTATTAAGTGTGTCAGAGATTCACTGAGAAAAACATGAGACAGTGGTTGTTTAGTTCTCATGGAATTCTTTGTGGTAAATCCCTATGTATTACAGCCTTTGCCAAAGAAATTTTTTTCATTAGCAATGGAGAAAAATTATCTTTGATCTTCAGGAAAATAATAGTAGTCTGCTTAAACACAATCCGATTCACAAGATTTTACTGAAGCTTATGCTCTTCTATAATTGGGATCATTAGGACAAAACAAGAGACTGGATTTAGGTGTTATCTTTCCTAACGGTCTTATTTTAATTACATGTAATTCTCAAAAGAATTACCATAGTTACTTAGAAATTATCTGAAGTTTCATTCTATTTTCAGAGAGTCAACATTGCCATTTTTAAGAAGAAATGTATGTTTCACATCCACAGAGATGAAATAATACCATCCCCCTCACGCAAACACTACAGAATTAGGGTGTGGTTCCAGGTGTAGTTTTCTTCATGACAAAGTCCCTGCCATTTTCCAGCCTTTGTACAACAGTTCATTGTCCCCTGTTGTGTGCTGATGCAACTGTATGCCTGAGATACAGTCAATATATTTACTATGAACAACATCATGGAAAAGATCTGGGTTAAATTAAACTTTATGACTGACAGATAAGAATAAGTGCTTGAGAAGACAGATCTCCCTTATACTGTCATTGCTACTGAATATGGACTATTGGAAAACTAAGGCTTAGCAGTCCAATTCCTGTATGGACTGCCAAATTCTGAGGCTACATCACCAGGCAATTCACTTTGATCCTATTGGTCTATGGCTGGTCTATGCCTCACCAAGAACGCAGCAACCCTAAGGGGCTGCATGTGATCTCTGCCAGACTGCCCTAGTCCCTAGAAGGAGCAATTTATTTTGCTCTCCTAACACACCATGTATTCTAAGAACAGTAACCACCACCAATATCTTGTTGTATAAAGGCATCAAAACATTGTCTTATGCCCACCTGTTCTTAAACAAGGCCCTGGTCAAGAAAGATGTCTCTTACCAGTTTGTTGATCTCAAGCGCACTCTCCTGGTATTCAGCATCCAGATGGGTTAAGGGGTGCTGCAGAGGCTGACCGGGGGCAGGGAAATCTGTCTTCTGCAAAGAAACAATAGGACAGAAACAGAGTTTGTTCCTGGGGTTACTAGAATTAGCATGTCTCCCCAGCAGGGAACAATGAAGAGATATAAAAGAGTTCCCACCTGGAAGTGTGACTTAATGAAGGAGGAGAAAGGATAGCTGTTGATGGTGGGTGGGAGGGAAAGATCATCTTTGACTTTGACTTCTGGAGGCAATGCCTCAGTTATCTGGTTGGCCTGTGCTTGGTACTGACCTGCAAGAAAAAGATGTCTCGTGTTGCAGCAGTTGGAAAGGCAGCCAGAACGCATCCAACACACAGCACAACACATGGCTAACATGCATCTAACCTTGCCCAAGTACCCGTACCAGCCCCCTGGCTCCAGGGACACCCAGCCCACCCCTGCTGCCCTAAACCCCCAAGCAGGCACATTCTCATTTCCTTGAGACCACAAGGCATGCCTAACTTCAGGAGAGAGCTTTTATAGCTCTGATCTTTCAGACTCTTACCTCTGGGTAACACCCAGAGGGCAGTCAGCACCTGGAGTTTCGTTTCTGTTATGCAGAGTTTACAGGGCTGGAAACACTGAGGCTATGCAGAGATACTGCTGACAACTGTTCAGTCCAGAAGTAAATGAGAGGTCTTCAAGATGAGGCACTGGATGAGGGATTTACCACGGACAATAGAAGAGCAAACATCTTCCTAAATTAAGAGATTTCTCAATGGAGCACAGCTTCTGTGCATTCCTCTATCTCCAAACCATGTCCTCTGATGCTCTCCTCCTCCTCCCTGTTTACATCCCACCAGCTTTCTCTGTCAGTAGTTTCAGTGCAGTTGAGCTCCTCTAGGTAACATTACTCACTAGACCAGCTGATAGTCCCTGGAGGGGTATGCCATGAAGTGTGGGGTATTTGGGAATGCAGCACAGTCTGCTCCAAGTCGCAAGACTTCTGCCTGATTGTATCTTTTACTGTACTATACAGAAGGCCAAAGATACAGCTGCCATTTTGTTAGATGCTATACCGACATAAAGAGGCAAATCCTGCCTCAGCCTGTTTGCAACTTAAATGTATACATTGTACGAAGAGTTACAGAGGAAACAAAACTGCAAATAACTTAATGCTCAAGACCAGGTCAACAACTTGGGAAATTATTTCAGTTAGTGGCATTTTGGTTATTTGAAACAAAACAGCACAAAAAACTTTCCATCCCAAGCAAAACGTTTCTCTTAATTGTTAGATCCTTGAGCTGTTACATTGCTTCTACTTCCTTTATTTTAAAAGTAATTACTTTTGAAGAAATAACATTTAATGAAAACTCAAAAATATTTCTTTGAAAGTGCAAAAACTGTAGTTTTGACTTCTTCACCTTCAATTTCCTTAAAGATTTTTTAGTAGGAAAAAAGATAGGTTTAGGTTCTCATACCCCAGATATCCAGCTCTGCAAGAGACCTGGGTTCATTAAACAGTTTGCTGTCACATAGCTTTGACCAAAAAATTTTGCATCATCACTGTCATTCGTTCTATCAGCACAGTTAAAAAGAGCTGAAAAGGTAATAAATACACTGAATTTTAATCTGGTGTCTTGCCCACGGGCCCAAGTTGCTTTTCCTCCCTGTCATGTTGGGAAACAATATACATGACACTATTTGCCTTTATCATATTTACACTGCAACGATAATAAATCAAATACAACCCAGATGACAGACAGCAGGTAGAACAACCACGTACTTAAACTACTAGAAAACAAGGAAATAAACAGTAAAGTAAAACAATGCAGGAAATGGAAGGAAGGAGGGAGGATTTCTCACCTTCAGCTAAGTGCAGGAGGGCAGCAAGCTCTGCAGGGATCTCCAGCAATCCCACATCCTGTGGAGAGAGTGAGCAAGTCATTCACCAGGGTACCAGATGTGAAACAACATATAAACCCTGAGGTGTTCTGCTGAGACTGAGTAAAATTGCCTTTGAAAAGCTGGCCAGAACAAGGACTGAGCATCTGAACAAAACCAGTAATTTCTGACTATGCAACATTCAGGAACATGACAAATAGGGGAATATCATATTAACACAGGTATATGACATGGGTCAGCAAATAAGGGAAAGGTGAGTAATTCCTAATAAAATCAACTGCCACAGGGGTGACAGGAAAGTTGACTTTCTTTGAGTCATCTCTCATTACTAACAAGTTTGGCATATTGTACAGAAGAGATTGCGGTTGAAGGGTAAGGGCCATTTCCTCCTACTCATTTTTCTGTCATTTTTATTTTTCAGTATCCAAGAGTGCTACAGCATAAATAAAAAGAGACCCAATTCTGTTCTTTGATGCACTCCACTATTTTGGAGGTTCCTAAGGAAGCTCAGATCTATACCTGTGTAATTCAGATGAGAATCTGGCCAATGATTCTTGATTTTTCACTGTTTTGCACCTTGCATGATGCATGCATTTGTGCAAGGTAGGAAGCAAATGGGCCAATGCAACACAGTGTACGAGCATCAATGTCTGCACATAACATCAATTCAGGGTATTTCAGACAGGACTACTTGGATTAAGACACTATGAAATCAAGCCAAAGGCACAAAGCCTGAGCTTTTGACTTTTGTTTTTTTTAAGACCTCATAGTAAATCCTCTACTCACCAGTGCACTATTCTGACATCTCTCTCCACATAAACTCTCAGCAATGCTTAAAGAGAGATTCACAGATTTTTTTGATCAGTTGGTTTTGCTCATAAGAAGATATTTTACTTGAAGTCTAACGAATGGCATATTCAGGAAGTGGACTGTGAAATTCCACAGTCCTGGATCCACACTGGCAATATTGCAGGTGATACTGCAGGAGCACCCCATGCGAAGTATTCCCATTGTTATTACTGAAAAATTTATGCAAAATTGTGGATTATGTCAATTCAGATTTCCTTGCTAGACACATCATAGCAAATGTATGCCCAGTCTGAACGTACAAATAATGGCATTGGCTAGCAGTGTTACTTACAGTAGTTAATAGAGGTTAAACTTGTTATGAAGCCTTTAATATCTTATCTAATATATCTAATATATGGCTTGTTTTATTTCAGACTCTCCCAGACTGTTTGACAACTTACCATTCCTTGGTTGGGAATGTTCTCTGTGTCACCACTGGCCAGGGACTTCCTTCTTCGTTTCCTTTCCTCTAACTTCTGCTGTTAGGAGATGAAAAGGGGATGAGAGGTGGGAGAAGATGTATACGAGGTCACTTCTGGGGGCAGACTCCACAGATGGGCAGGAGCTGGTGTGCTACTCCAGCACATAAAATGAGAGAACAGCAGAGCCTTCTGGGGACTCAACACAGTGTATTGAAAAGGAGATGCCCAGGCAAAGCCCTTAGCTTTCCTGAAACACCACCTGCCCTGCACAACACAATTCAACAGCAAGAGCCTTTACCACCTGCCCAGCATCCCTGCCACACCTTTCCTCCCTTGTCTGGTATTTGATGGGTCTGAGGACAAAAGCACACAGAAGCTGTCGGAAATATTCACCTGCCTCCTCCAGCATCAAAGAATATGGTAACACAGCCTGAACATGGACAGATGAACTTAATCCATGGAGAGGGACCACTTTAAAGGTGGTGGGAGGGATAGCAAAAGCCAAGCTCCCTTGCAGCTCTGCCCTTTCCCATCCATTCTATTGCCCTCCAGCCTCACCACTTACCTGACTCCTACTCCAAGATGGAGAAGAAGGGTCCTCTGTCTCTCCCTCTCTCTCTCTCCTGTCTGTCTCTGTTGCAGAATGGTGTGACTAGATGGAAGGTTATGAGGGTTGGGCTGAGAAAGACAGTACGCAAGTGAAAGTCCAAAGGGCAGGGCTGTGTGGCAGGGGGAAAGGAGGAACTTCGCAGCAGGTGAACTTTGAGACCTTTATTGTTGCTATTGCATGTGCAGAGACCTCAGCAAGCAAACACTGAAGGAACAGAAACAGATTCAAAAGAGCTCTGCTGTTGTGGTTACCTGGGAGAAAGAAAAGCTGGATCCCATCCAAGTAGGAAGGGGCAGAGAAAGGAACAGAAACACATACTGCTCTGGGCATGGCAGAAGGAATCTCTGCAGTCTTGCAACAACAACACTGACCTTAACCCTCTGCCCCATCCTTTGCTAGTCATGCCAGCAGCGGTACTGGGTCCCTCCCTCAGGAAGCTGACAGCTATGGGGATGTTAGTTGCTACTCTAAGGATGAGTGGTCTGATTTTGTGTTTTCAATTTTCTTTTTAGTAGCTTGTGCAAAATACATTCATCTCATTTGATAGAACCATGGCTCTCCTGCACATAATTTTCCACCTTCTCAAACCACTGCCATTCTGTTCTCACCCCAACTATGGGCCCAGCTGATTTCCAACAGGCCAAGAACTTCAGCAGCCCGAGGTAGCTGTAAGGGGTCAGGGAAGGATCACTGTGGATATCAATCTTGGATATCAGTCACCATCTGGGAAAATACCTGATATTGAACTGGACAACTAAAAGAGTAAGATGAATGACTCTCTATAGCTTGAGCAGAACAGCAGCTCTGGAGGCCACAGATGGAATAAGCTCACGTCTTGTGTGGGGCAACCTAGAGGAGCTCACATAACACAGGCATACAAATCAGCTGCATTTGTACTACCTTTGCCAATTCTGAACTTTGTCTTGGAAGAGAAGGCTCCAGTCTCTGCGATTCCTCCTTTTGACTACATTTATGTCAGCCAGAGAGTAAAGGACACCTCACTGGATCATTTCCAAGAAACTTTCTAAATCCATCCTTGCCCTGGCCTCACCCAGTCCTCATCTCTCTCTGTTTAGAGCAGAAATAGATCCTGAAATACACCTGGTCCTGAGAAGAATGTTGTTACCTGGCAGTGCTTCTTCCTTTGAATCAAAAGTCTGGAGATTAAAATCATGGTATCAAATTGCACCAAAGTCTTCTTCAGCCTCCTGTAACGCTTCCTAGAGGAATGTGAAAAGAGAAGAATTGCTAATGAGGGAAACCTCAACCACATTTAGGCAGACTGTAGACTCAATTCGAGGGTATGGGCCAAACAGAACATTAATACAGTCAGCCAGTCTGGATTTGGTCTTACTCTGCTAAGACTGTTCCTCTCTTAGATGTTTTCCCTATATCCTTTACTGTAGCTACCACAGTATCAGCCTTAGCACAGGCAAGTTACTGTAACAATTTTGCCAGCAGCTGTATTTCTCCTGGAGTGTCTGCTCAGTGTTGGGAACCAGGCTGGGAAGTCCCTCCTTCACCATTCCAGTAACAAGATTTCCCCTTGCAGAACAGGCCAGGAGCCAACATGAGGAGGGGCCTGGCCAGGCACATCCCCACCTTGCTGTCCTAGGCGAGGAGAAAAGGCTGTACCTTCCCTGGCTTTTGGCTCCTGACCTTGCCTGGTAACCTCGGAAGTGAGCCTGAATGATTGTGACTTTCTCCTGGAGGACACGGAGGCGTCTGCGGCGAAGGAGGCATCGGAAGTTCCTTTGCAGGGTAACAATGGCCCAACTCTGCCTCTGGCTCCATCGTCTCTCCAGAAGCTGCCTGGCCGCCTCCTTCAGAAAGATCTGGGCAAAGGGAACAGCTGCTGACCCACAAGGAAAGCAGCCAGCTTCTCTAACGGCTGATCAATAATAAAAGCTGCTAGTTTATCTCTTTCTAGCCTTTAAGGCTCTCTGATAAGGAAACTGCACTCCCTTAATTGGGAAGGGCAGGAGGCACAGGTGCAGGTGACAGAGATGGATGCATTTGTGGAGGACAGAGAATCAGGGAGTGAGGAAGGTCAGTAAGCAGAAGCCCAAATCTCCATCAAGGAATGCAGGATGACAAAGGAGTTGTCCATGCTACTACAACAGCCTGGAGCCAGAATCTGCTGTTTCTTTATCTGAAATGCTAAAAATCCCTCCTTCATACTTGAGACAAGAGGCAAAGCAAAAGGGAGGTGAAGGCATGCAATGTTCTCTCCTTTTTGGCAGAGAGCTGAGCCGCTCTCTGTCCATTGACAGCCAGTGAATAGATGGCTGGGTCTGTGCGATTAAGATGGAATTCTCTTTAGGCATCACCTTTGTTACTCCAATCTGATAGAGATCTGAGGGGTTCCCCACCACATGAGACAGCACTGCCGCACAGCTTTCTCTCTCCTCCAAGCAGTTGTGCCCTCGCTCAGCCAGGAGCCCATACCTGGAAGATGAGATGTTGATATGATGGAAGCCAGGGCTATAAATGGAGTCCTCAGAGGAGAAAAGAAAAATCACAGTGTGTTGATAAGTTTATCCAGGTTTTGAGTGGCTGGGGAAGTCCAAGCCAGTAGACTACTGTACCTGGCTAGGAAGTTCTGGAATGGAAGACGGACTGGGTAGCCCTCCTTTCCAATGTGGATGGCCTCCAGTATCCCAGAATGCCGCAGCTGACAAGTGACATACTCCACATCAAAGATATTTGACAGCTGTGAATATAAGGCAGAAGGAAAATGTAAAACAAGAAACAAAGAAAAAGGAAAGGAGACAGAGGATGGAGAGTTTAGAAAGGGTGTCCTCCTATTGTTCTGCCCTTGGGTTAGGTCTTGCCATGGTCCATGGGTGGTGGAACACAAAACCCAACACATCCTTTGGTGTCCAACTGACACTGGCTTCTTATCCTCCAGCACGTGGTGTGCTCACACGACCACAGGGGAGGGCGAAAGACAGAGAAAGGGGAAGAAAAGTTTCAAGCTGTCAAATGAAGCAAAGAAGTCCAAGCCCCAACTGCAAAAGGAGAGCTGCTGGAAAGGACTGGACTTCAAGGAACTGAATGAGTCTCTAAGGAGCTCAGGGTGCTGCCCTACCTTTTTTGGATTAGGGGCGATGCACCGAATGAAGAACGCATGGCTCCTGCAAAACAGAAATAAGAATGTTTGATCATCCTCCTGTCTGTGCTGACCTGGGAAGTCTTCACACACTTCTGGGTGCAGCAGTCACCCAGTGCACCATAACAGCATCTCTCACCTTCTCAGCTTGGCTGTGAGGTCCTGCAAAGACTGCTGGAATTTGGACACCAGTGTGGAAGCCTGAAGCCTGAGCCCTTTGCCTCTGACCCCCAGCTCCCTTTGCTGACTATAGGCAGATTTAGCCTTCTGGAAAATGTGAGACACCACCTGCAAAACCAAAGAAATTACCAAAGCTCCCTCAACTACATGGAAAGAACAATCTCTTCTATCTGAAACTGGGGGACCATTCTCCCTTGCCCCTAGCAGTGCTAGGAACCCAGCTGCATCCTCAGCCAGTCTGTGCATTTTATATAAAAAAGCACAAATTACAGGCAAAGATGACTTGCTTAATACCCAAGTGTCCTTCAGTAGAACAAAACTCCACATGGTTCCTCTAGGTTCTCCTAACACTTGACCAAGATCTTTCTGCTTCTCACATGAAAGCAATGAGTGGCTCGTTAGGTGTCTGCAATTGAGTTGTTCATCCTGAACCAGTACGGTACCTTGAGGTGGCTCTGAGAGAAGATATCCAGCACCTCTGGACGCAGCTGGTCACGGTTTTTATTAAGAAACTTGTGGACCTGCAGAGGCAAAGTCTGATTTAATGCACTATTGAGACCACCAACCAGACAGGCAAACACCCCTCTTACACACAGTTTGACTTGGGGCAGACAGCTGGTGAGGTGGAACAAGGAGAAAGCCCTAGAGAATGAAGCTTGCTCTTTCTCCTGCCACCAAGAATGGAGGGGACAATGATTTCTGCATTTAGGAGGGATTGTTCCTTTTCCCTTTCACATTGGCCAGCAGGCTTTGACCCCTCACTTTCTTTCAGCAGCAACAGCTTTCCTGGATTTTTAGGGCTCTGAGACAAGCAATGTAGACTGTTGTGTACCTGAGGCCATTACCTATTTTATTTCTGCCCAGAGGCACTTTAATTGCCTCTCCTAACAAGAATCTTCTCATTTCTGATAAACTGATACTTTAGAGGGATGTGCAGTTACAGAGAGGGCTTTGTTCAAAGCACTCAGAGCTGGTCCATCAGGACATCCACAGCATGCTTCCAAGTTGGCCTGTTGCTCCAACTGCTCAGAGCTCCCTGCCAGCTCACCTGATAGGTGACAGGGCCTGCATAGTGCTTCACAGTGAAGACTGGCAAAGGCATGTTGGGCTTGGCATACCAAGGGCTGTTTCCATGATGGTAATGACATTTTTGGAGGAAAGTGTGGTCAGTGGCCTGTAAAGGATATGACAAATGTGTTTGCTGCTGCTGCGACATATACAGTAGGCTGAAAAGCCACTATTAAACCAAAGGTAAAAACATCTAATACTTGTGCAAACACAGTCCCTCTTCAATCTGTATAACTGCCTCACCATAACCATCCTGTGAAAGGGATCCCATAAGAGGATAAGAGCTTCTCACCTGAGTCAGTGAAGTCTGATCATCCAGGATACACAAGATGCCATGGGGTTTTGCAGCAATGAAATCTAGGCATGACTCACTGTACATCTTGGAAATAGAAATCCAAGCTAACTGCTCTTGGCTATATTCCTCCTGCATGTTAAATACCAACCAGTCAAATCCAGCCATACAACAAGAATAAACAGAGGGGGTTAACAGGGATTTGGTTTATTCATCAGGAAGCTAGTGTATCACTGCTCTTAGAAACTTGCCTACAATTATCTGGTTTTGCTTTATGAAACTTTCTCAAGCCACTAATAATTTTCCTAATTTAAGAGAGAAAGGCTGCTAAGCAGCGTGATAAAGTAAACTGTAAAAGGCAACAAGTCTGATAAATATACTTTCATCTCCAGGTGGACCCCAGTGGTACATAAAATGCTACAATGAACCTATCAAGAGGCTTTAAAAATACCAGCTGAGTTCTGGGCTCCTTGGTCCTGACCAACTCACTTATAAAATCTGTAAAAGGGGGCAAGGCATTAACAAATTCCCTTTCCCTTAATTAACTACAGAATTAGTAAAAGATATTAAATAGCCAGCTCGTTGGGCTAGGATTCCACAAGTACTGCTTAAGAGGACCAGATCTATTCAGCTTCCTGCTACCCTGCTAAAGGATACTCTCCAGCTGAAGCTGCCTCAGCTCATTCCATATGTGCTGCCTTTCACCTGCTGGTGTGAGTTCCATTTACCTCTTCCTGGGCAATGACAGTCTGGCTGAAAAAATGCTGGAGATGCTCATTGGCAAAGTTGATGCAGAGTTGCTCTAAGCTGTTCACACCTAGATCCTGCAAAGATAAAAAGGCATCATCACTTCCAACCCACAGCCCTCCCAGGAGGCTGTGTCTTCTTGCTAATAATGCACAGCACCAGGTGGTGCTGATCTGAGCTCCTGGTTCAGGCAGCTTGTTCTGATCAGTAAGTGTGAATGAACTTGAGAAATTCAAATCATCTAATGTCTGGTTCGCAAGCTCTCAGCCTGGTTTATTGATTAGGTTGATCAGCAAGAGGCAAGACAAGCTGTGAAGGAGCACAAAGAAGAAGAAATCTACACTTGGGTGCACACTCCCACCTGTATATGCTCCATTGTTTTCAGCATTCATCAGAACACAGGAATCCTAAGCACAAAACTCACAGGCGTTGATGAGCACATATCACTCTAAGCCCCTGCTCTGCCTGTTATTTACTTACCGCAAGTCTGGGAAGCCCCCAGGAGCTCACTGCGGCAGAGACATGGGTGTATACCTGCCACAGGGGTAACAATTCCTGACCCAGAACTCTAGATGCTACCCTAACCTCAGTTTCAGAAAGTAACACCTTGCAGGACTTTTGCTTACAAAATTATCTGCACTTCTCCTGTCCCTGGCTTGGTCCAAAGCCCAGTGGATCAGGGAGAATCTCTCCAGAAACTTCAGTGGATTCTGGACTTGTCCCTATTCAGGCTGGGAATAATAGAAAAGCAGGATATGCTGAAGCACACAAGAAGAAATAAATTGTAGAAGGTAGTGTTAACCTATTTCCAGCTTTATGCAAGTCTTCAGGAACAAATGGGAACAGCTGGACTAAAACTACATTAAAAACACTTTTCTTACTTCTGTTAGTAATAGCACCAGGAATAATTCAAATGTGATTCATTAAGAGTTATCTCATTCAGCTCACCTCATCAGTACAGCAAATTTATACTAGGTATATTTCTGGGTTTGGTGCATCAAAACTGGCTGATGAGTGACCTGGGTCCCCAAGCCACTGCTAAGCAGCAGAACACAGGTTGTGGGGAAAGGACTCAGCTGATTTTTACAGGAATTTGTGTATAAGTGTGGGGGTTTTGTCAAACCTTCTTTAGGTGAGAATTAAAGAATGGAGTTAAAATCCTCATGTATCCTTTCAACATCACACATAACTTGGTTTCTAAACTCCAGTCCACTTGCTGGAAAGAGCAGTTGATCTGTATTTAATTCAACATATGAGCTAATCCAGTCGGCCAAGTTGGCTGAAAGTGCTGGTTTTGTTCTGATTTAAAATCAAATAATTTTCCTCTTCCTCAGAATGACAGAACCAAAACTACCTATGTCCACTATCAATCCAGCACCATACTGGTCAGTTCATGCAAAAGTATCACACATGCAAGGCTGACATGGTGGCAGCACCAGAAACCACTCTATCTGAGGCTAGGTTGTTAACTGCCTACAATGGTTAGGACTCCACTTACACACCAATACTACTTGCAATCCACCCAGTCCTATGTATCTTGGGCTTCTACCTATGCCACACAGTCATGGAAGACTGTAGGCTCCTCCAGATAGCAATTCATAACAAGAGTCTGTAGTAAGAGTGTTAAATCACACCCTGAAGGAGCACTTCTCTACTGTCTCTGGAAAAAAAAAAAAAAGTATCCCCCTGAATACAAGCATCTACATTACATGGTACAATTACTGTCTCCTTTCTAGAAAAAAAAGGAAAGACACAAACCAAAACCAAAAAGAAAACGCACCCATCAAATACCCTCCCATTTCTGGCAGTGACTGAGGAGAATCACCACATGCACTTGCAGCCCAGAAAATATCAAAAGAATAGGAAAAGCAACCTCAAACCCATGTATGTCCACAATTCCCACAGAACAGTCTGATTCCCGGGGAGCCAACCACTCATTGATTCTCAGCAGCAGCCACTCAAAGAGCAGGTAATACAGAGTCTTGGCAATGGAGTCCCTGAGCAGGAAAGAGGAGTAAAAGAAGTTACAACAAAGACAGCACCCTTGAGTACATCCCACCAACCCAGACAACAACAGCAGAAGTCACCTGGCATCGATGGCTCCTTCTACAGACAGAGGAGTGAAGATTCGATCATAAGATGTCACCTGGATACATGAAGAGCTGGAATTTACTGTTATTATCTCACAAATACACATAATTTTTTAAATCCACAAGGAAGTCAACCCAGTTAATACATGACTTTTTTTTTCAATTTGGCCTGAGAATTTACCCAGGTATCACAGGAGAAAGTAAAAACAGAATTTGGCTGCCACAATTTCAGGGTGGGAGTCAGCTGGCCAAAGTGTTAAGCCTAAAGCCACCTCATGTCAGAGAAAAGCCCTCCTAGATGTGAGTTCTGCCATCTTTACAGAGCTGCCTTGAGGCATTCATCTCATCCCCATTACTGATCCAGCACAGTAACCATTTTATTCCT